TGGGGGGGAAGGGTGCGCGTGTAGGCTTGGTTTGATACTTGTGCTGTGGCCCTTGAGGACCCATCTCTCTTTTGTCTGCCTAAGGCCGAAATAAACGCCTTAAGAATATCATCTCGCTCATTTTTCATCATTTGTAAATTGGCATAGTGCGGTGAAAAACTTGAGGATTGTGTGAGTTGCTTTCATTACGATTTGACAAGAGTAACATGTGTAATGAAAGAGACCCAATTAAGCAGTGATATACGACAAACCCTATGCTATGATTTCAGTAGCTGATATTTTTCTCATTGAGCAAACAAAAAATGATGTAACGAGCTCAAAATGAAAAGCCAAGCCCTGGAGGTGGAGGGAGGGACAATCAAAAACCAAATGGGCTGGCAACTATGCCCCGTTACAAAGAGAATCCATAGGCCCATCAATACAGTAGAATACACACGTACGTGTGAAAGAAAAAGAAAGAGAAGAAAATGGAGAGCCACGCAGGGAAAATAATCATAGTGTAGTTTGGGGGTATCGGGGGAAGAAGGAAGGAGACATATCATCTTTAGCTTTCGTGGTGGAGGGACACGTGATGCTTTTCAGAACCCACTACTCCCACGTGCCCTTTTTTTAGTTTTAGTTTAGTACTCTCCTCCTCAATCCATAATTATTGATTCTTCTTAGCCATTGTATTTAGTTTATGATCCTTTTTTGGCCCTTCCCTAATTATTTGTTTTTCTTTTATTTTTTTGGCCAAAAAGAAAATCCTAGTTTGTATACATACTTTTGTATGTGCGGATAGAGATTTTAACCCGATCAGTAAGCGCAGCTACATGATGAAATTTAACTAGAGAATTTGGTAACCATCACAAATTGTAGTCAAAATACTACTCCTTTCGTTTTTTTGGTAAACTTGTGTGTAAAACTGTACAAAATGAGATAAGATTTGATTAGTACTGTAGCTTTGGTTTGTCCTACTTTTGTTTTTTGAAATATGTATGTTACAGTAATCATTTTGTTTGGATGGTCCCGCCTCACGTGATTATTCCTCTTTAGTCTTTACTCCCACTTCTCTCTTTCTTCATTTCTTTCTTGAGAATATTAATAAAACAGGCACTTTCCAACTTCAATCTTTCGAAGTAGGAACAAAATACAGTAACCTTTGACAACTCAGCAAAAGGCTCCTGTACATGACATTATTGCCCTCCAACATCTTGAGCGGGATGAGGGATGAAAAACTCTGAGTGGATTGCTACCATATTCATGAATGACGATGATCTTGTTGTAAATTGTAGATTTTTACTTTATTCTCTCTGTAAAGATTAAATTTTTTGTGATTGTAATGAAAACTATTGTTTTGGGATTACAAATATATTATAAAGATAATCATCATACAAAAAAACTAAACCCTAATAGATTGTAAATGGAAAACCCAAACACAATATATATGTACCTTCCCAGTGAAAAGTTTAAACGCAAACATTCTTTACAAAAAAAGAAAGAAGACATGCATGATCACCACAAACATTTGTGGCTTTATCCTGAAAACGTTCCTATGAAGTCCTCCAATTCCAACGAGGAGGCCAAGTTATTCATTGAGAAAAAAGAGCAACACAATTTTGATTAACCAATTGATGCTTTTATACTTGAAAAAATTGATGCATTTGGTTATAATGTTGTTTACCACTAAGTTGCTCGAACAAGATAGTTGTTTCAGCCATAGCTAGTGTCTTGTGTTTCCAGTCACTCACAAGCTCGAGCCCAACCATAAATTCTTTTCCTCTCACATCTTCAGTGACTAAAAAACAAAATAAATATCTAGTTAGAGAAACTCAAAGACTTTACTATCATGTATTTTCTATAGATATTTCAAACATTGAATAATTTGTGTACCAATGTTAGCCATTTGTAAAACTAGAGCCTCGGATACAACTAATTCTACCCTTTAATCATTTACCATGATTTTACCAGAAATTTTGTAGAGATTACAATAAATTAGCAAACACTCATCAATAAATTAGCAAATATTCATCAAGACTCTGATTTTGTATGCAATCGCAAACAGATCCAAACCGAGAAACAAGAACATGAGAGAGACAAATAGGAAACCTTGTAAGATTGAAGATCATCGGAGAATAATCAAAGAAAGCCACCGTAAGACTGGATCTGGAGATCTAAATCCGACGGAGGAGACGATGATACAAACGCGAACGTCTTGAAGCGAAAAACGAACAAGACCGGAAAATATAACAGTGGTCGCGCAGCTGCCATGGCTCCATTATCGAATGAAAACTTAGATTTCAATTTTTTCCCCTTTCGATAAGATGAGAGAGAATACACCGAAGAAGAAGAAGACGTCACCAATTTAAGGGGTACAATCGACATTTAACAATGCACTGAGTACCTATTTTGGTAAGGATTTCGGAAAGTGCCTAAATTGAAAGGGACCTCTAAGAAAAGTGCCTACTCTATAATTAACTCTTCTTTTTTCTTTCTTGTCTTCCATCTCTTACCCTCTTCTTTTTTTTCTTTTTCTTAAATCCATTACGAATTATTATTGTTTCCAAAATGTTTTTAAAATGATTTAAAGTTTTAAAGTTGTTATTTTTTGAAATGGTTTAAATACTGTACACTTATCATTTCAGTATCATAAATTACTCATTCAATTCTTTTTTTTTTTTTTTTGTCATCGATCATGTTATATTATATTTAACCTCATTAATTTACTTCTTCCTCTGCTACCACCATTTACTCAAACTGTAAACTTAATTTATTTCACATTTATATAAAATACATTCATCAAATCAAACCTTCTTTTGGCGACTCCTTTCACTCGTCATCTCCTTCTTTTATTTTTACATCACCTACATATGTATTACTCTCTGTTATTTCATTACACCATAACATAAAAAGTCAATAGACAAGTTTAATCCTTTATGAAGAAGATATGGTATGAGTTGAATACAGCTGTATTATAATGTATATACACACTAAAGGAAACATAATTTTCATTAACCATTGCCTTGCCAACACAAATCTCCAGTTTTGTCTTTTGACTTTGTGTACCCATATTTATTCATATATAGAAAAATATTAAATGTCGAAAAACGAATTTATTTTTAGTGATAAAAAAAAAGCTTTCTACCAAAAAAATAAAAAGCTTTTGAATGTAATTAAATCTCATTTATTCACCTTTCAAGTGCTTGTTTTGCACTCGAGAAAGAAACCAAAACGAAGATTGAACGACACTTCTTATTTTTCTCTACTTGTTTAGTATTTTTTTAGAGTATAACACTTTACATATCTTTGGACAACATTGCATAGAAATGAAAGTTTTACAATATATATATAGATATCTAATTAGCATCGTCAATATGCTATATATTAATGTTCTTAATTTATATTTTACTAAATGCAGAAATACTAATCGGAATCAACCTCACATCTCTATATATGATTAATTCCTGATTTTTCTTTAATTTATAATATTGTGTTCAACCTTACAAATCTTGGAAAAAGGAGAAAGCATTAAACAGAATTATAACTATAATTAGCATCTTACTTTTTTCCACCTAATTTATAATTAGTAACGTTAAAAATCACCTGTATTATCACAACCAATCTCCTGTTTTTTTTTTTTTTTTTTTTTTTTTAACTCAGAAGCAAATGTTTAGAAAACCAAAATAAAAATAAAAAACACATAACAAAACCAAAATAAGGAGAGATTTAGCAATTCCAAAATCCTTCAACCACTTTTTTTTTGTTTAACCAGCTCTCTCTCTCACTTCTCTCTCCCAAAAACTCCATTTTTCTCTGCAAATCCCAAACAAACCCTAATCTAAAATCTTCAAACTTCTCCGCCGTTTCTACCACCGTCAATGTGGCGGCCGTGGCGTAAATCGTCGGTTAAGATTCACGACACATACTCTCCCACCACCGCTTCCTTCAAAGACATTCACCATCTCTGCTCCGACGATTCACCTTCTTCTTTCCCTCCTTCTCCTTGCCCTTCTCCCAGAAACGCTTCTAGAGTCTTCCACCGTGTCCGCGCTGCTAATTTGATCCTCAAATCCTGGCCAACTCGTCAATCTAATCACCTCCTCCGCGCAGATTCCGAGCCTATCAACAATCTACGCCGGAATCCGAATCCGGAATCGGATTCCAAACAAACAAAGGCCAAATCCGAGCCAGATGTGCGAATTTCAATCCCAGGCGCGGAGAACAGCATCGTCGTCTACTTCACAAGCCTCCGCGTGGTTCGTCCAACGTTCGAAGCCTGCAAATCCGTTACATCGATCCTCCAAAGCTTCCCCGTACGAATCGACGAACGGGATCTCTCAATGGACGCGTCTTTCTCAACAGAGCTACAGCGGATCTTCGGGAAAGACCAGACGAAGACGCCGAAGCTTCCGCGAGTATTCATCGGTGGTCGTTACATCGGAGGAGAGGAGGAGGTGAAACAGCTTCACGAGATCGGAGAGCTGAAGAAGCTTGTACAAGAGTTGCCGAAGATCGAGCGAGGGGTATGCGAGATGTGCGGAGGTCATAGATTCGTACCGTGTAAGGATTGTCACGGTAGCCATAAGGTGCATAATGAGAAATTAGGATTCAGAACTTGCTTAGCCTGCAACGAGAATGGTCTCGTCAGGTGTTCATCTTGTTCCTTCTCCACATCTCCACCCTAATTCCTAGTTTTTTTTCTTTTTCTTAAAATTAATTTACTACACGAAGAAGAATTGGAATAATTAAATATTTTTGTTTTTTAAATCTAATTTTTCGGAAGTTTCCAATTTGTATAATTCGAAACGGAAAATGGTAGTAAGGCGCCTTCAGATTGGTTTTGGATAATTTTGAGGTTCGTCAAATGATATTTTATGATAATAAAAATATCATTAGATCATGTGATGTGAACGTGATTAGCAGCTAAGTATTATCATTTGCTGTCCAAAAAGAGTGTTAATTTTTCGAATTTTAAAATTATAGATCTAAATGCGGTAAGGAAGAAAATAAAAACTATAGGGTCTAAATGGTTCAGATGAGTGAATTGTTAATCTATTACAAATTGAATATGTTAATTGAAAAAAAAAATATTTTCTTTAAATTTCCAAATATAAAAAATAGGATTGATGGTGGATAACACATTTCTGGCTTAAGAAAAAAAGTATGATTATGTTATACACATGATAAATTTGATGTCATTTTTCTAATTATGACGTTATAACTCTATAAAAACAAAAAAAAACAAAAATAACGGTTCCGAGTTCCGACCATATCGTTGGGTTAACGCATAACATAGGTTAATTGAGTTTTTTATATTTAGTCAGTTTTTTACCAAAACAGGTGAAATATGTAGAGGTAACCACCGCAAAGAAAGATTGATTAGTAGTTGTTAATGATTTGGTTTGTAAATTCGTGCAAGTGAACGATCCTCGAGAATTTTGTTTCGTTGTTTTATAGATGCGATTAAAAAACTCCACAATACCATAATGTATTCAAATAAAAATACTCTTAACATTTATTCGAGAATTTGCTCCGTATTTAAATCTAAAAAGTAAAAAAGACCATAAGGTATTTTATAATACCTTTTTTCTTCTCGAAATTAATTTATAGAGGTTTTGGTTTGTGTGTGTGTATGTGATGTACAGCTACTCGAAAGCTGGTGGTATCGAGAGCAACCACTGACCCATATATGCTTCGACCACCGAGCCAATCGTGCAGCCGTGTATTGCTTCTTCAAACAGGCTTCTATATAGCATAGAACATGACTATTTTTACAAAATATTTATTTATTAGTGAAATATATGACAAATCGCGTTATGCATATAAACTTTGTTAAGTAACCTTCTCAGTTCTCAGCTGTGTGTACTAAACTTCAAATTGTGTTTCTTTACTTCTTTATTTTTTTTAAGAGAAAGTAATGAAAAAATTGGTTGTGGGTAATAATAATATGATAATAATAAAATTATAAACAGAAGTTGAAAGAGTAGTAGCAACGGTTGATTAGTCTTCTTCCTTGTCCTAAACGACGACTTCAACTGCTTCTCATCCAACATTCTCTTCCTTATTCCTTTTTCTTTAAGAAGAAAAATTCACAGAAGCCAATAAATCAATCTCCTAATGAGTTCCAAGAGACGATGGAGATTCTGCCTCCCAACAGTATTCTCCATCATCTTCCTCACCCATCTTCCTTTGAAACTCAACTCCCATGGTTACTTTTTGATCCTCATCTCTCTGTTTCTCTATTAAAAAATTTTAAAGTGTTTTTTTGTTTGGATTTTGACTATTCATTTTCTGCAGAGACTGCAGAAGTCTTTGATTCTTCTCAAGACAATTTAATGATCCAGATCAGAGTTAATCGGAACCGTCGCATCCTGATTGATACACCTCTTCCTGGCAAAGATCCTGCCCTGAATGCCTCCCCACCATCTCCTGACTTCTCAACCTTCAAAGAACCACTGCTGCCTCCGCCATCACCAGAAGGCAACAAAACCCCGAGCCCTCCTCAAAGTGGTGTGCCAGCACAAACACCAGAGACCCCACCTGATATTACTCCCCTGCCTGTGCCTCCGGCTCCACCTACGTCTCAGTCTCACTCTCCTCTTCCAGGAACTAAAAAGAAGTCTACCAAGGTTTATATGATCGTCGGCATAGTCGCTGGCGTATTCATAATCTCGGGGATATTAATCATCTTCTTTCTTATCTTCACTCGAAAGATTCCAATCAAGCCTTGGACCAACAGTGGCCAGCTTCAAGATGCTCTTCTCACAGGCAAACAAACTCTTCAGTCTTCACTCTCTCTTTCTTCTCTCTTCATGTTGAGTTTCTCTAATTTTGTAGTTTTGTATTGCAGCAGATGTTCCGAGACTGCAGCTATCTGAGCTACAAGCAGCCTGCGAAGATTTCAGTAACGTCATTGGCTCTTTCTCAGACGGCGCCATTTATAAAGGAACTTTGTCCACTGGTGCTGAAATCGCCGTTGTGTCTGCCTCTGCTGGTTCTCGTGCAGCCTGGTCCACCGCCATGGAAACACAGTTGCTACAAAAGGTACCAGAACCTCGTTTGCACTTTGTTTTGAACAGGGATTGACATTGCCATTGACGAATAATTCCGCTCTGTATCCACAGATGCATAAGTTATCCAAAGTGGATCACAAGAATTTTTTGAATGTGATCGGTTACTGCCATGAGGAAGAGCCCTTCAGCAGGATGCTGGTTTTCGAATACGCTCCTAATGGATGCCTCTCCGAGCATCTGCACTGTGAGGATACCATCTTCCCCATAAATCTTATTTAACTCTATACAATCTTTAAACTGTTTGAACCAATCTATCATCGCAGCTCAACATGCGGAGCACTTGGACTGGCCTACCAGACTCAGAATCGTCATGGGAATAGCTTACTGTCTAGAGCACATGCACAATCTCAACCCACCCATCTTGCACAGCAATTTCGACTCGTCTTCCGTCTATTTGACTGAAGACAACGCCGCCAAAGTCTCCGACTTTTCTGTCATCAATTCCATCTTTCCCTCTCAGGAAGGTTCCTCGAGCAAGAATCTTCTAGAACCCTCATTACTTGATCCCCAGACCAATGTATTACACTTTGGTGCTGTTGTGTTCGAAATCGTAAGTGGGAAGTTACCTGACCCTGATTCTTTGTTTCTCGAACCCAAGCCCGCAAGAGATATTGTGGACCCGACCCTGAAAACCTTTCAGGAAGATATTGTTGAGAGACTGTTGGAGGTGGTTAGGCATTGTATGAATCCATACCCAGCTCAGCGACCAACAATGAGAGAGGTCGTGGTGAAGTTGAGAGAGATAACTGGAATAGAAGCTGTCGCAGCAATGCCTAGGCTGTCTCCACGATGGTGGACGGAGCTAGAGATCATATCCACAGAAGGAAACTAATTAAAGAGAATGAAGCCGTCCTTTCAGGTGTCCCCTGTATATATGTATACACAAATGACACTGTGAAGTGATGATCATCTTTTTCTTCCTCTGCGTTAAAAGACTAAATACTGTATATGCTAAATAACTAAAAAGTTGGCTTTGCATAGAAACCATTGGTAAGGTTAATAAATAGCAGTTTCTTTACAGCATCTGTGTATAAAAGAATTAAAAAAAGTTACGAGGTCCCCATGAAATATACAAATGGGAGAATGTTGTTGATACCTTCAAATTAGTCTAAGCCAAAAATGGTGTTATCAATGGAAGAAGCTTGATCCTTGGATCTGCTATATAGATGGAGCGTTTCAGTGTGGTTAGGGTCTAAACAGAGAGCAGCTTCGCAGTCTTGAGCGGCCAATGACAGCTTCCCTGTGGCCTCGTGAAATGCTGCTCTGAGATGAAGGGTTTGCAGTTCCGGCCTGAAAGCTATCGCCTTTGACAGCTCTTCCACTGCTTCTGTCTCTCTCTGATCATCCATCAGCACTGCCACAAAGACAACCACTTCTTTAACTACAAAATTTATAAAATGTTAATAAGGAACAGGAAGAGTTAGTTACCGGCAGCTCGGTATCTGTAGGGATAAGTTCGGAGAGGGTCGAGTGTAGTGGCCATGTCAAGATCCTCTTTGGCTTTTTCACGTTCACAGTACTCAGACCGTTTCTCGTAAGCTGCTGCTTTGCTACACGCCTTCTCGATCAGCTTTGTCATCTCCTCGCAGGCTTCTTTACGTTGGTTCTTCAAGAAATAAACTCGCGCCAGCCCTTGATGCGCACGAGTGTGTTTGATCTCTAAAGCATTTTTGTACGCAGTTTCAGCTTGATCTAGCAACCCCAAATCGATGTAAATGCTCCCAAGATTGTTCAGAGCCTGCAGAAACATAACAAATAGATTAATGAGAAAACAGTGTCAATAAGAGAAAGAGAAAGGCGAGATATCAAAATGCCAACCTGTCCTTTGCGTAGCCCATCCGAAGGACACTTGAGGGCTTCCTCCAGAACCTGAACGACACAAGAGATTTCGTCTGCATCGAGATTCTTGTCAGCTAGAACATAGGCTTTGAGAAAATATGCTTCGAAGGATCGCTGAATAGAGATTGCCTCCTCGGCTTTAGTCAGAGTTTCGTCCACATAACCTATGTCGTATAAAAGCCAGCCTTCGTAGACCAACCTCTCTGCTTTAGAAGTAGCCAAATTCCATGCCATTCGCAAACACCTCATTGCGGCTCCTTGACAATTCAATCTGTCACACAGATCACAAAACAATGTAGCTTTTGTCAACTCCTGAAAAAATCACCAAGCATGGTTTGCCTGAGAAACCAAAAAATATTCCTCTTACCTTAAGAGAAGAAGAGATTGTCTAAACCTCAGAAAGTTTTTGCTGGGATCATTCTGAAGCATCTGATGAACAACAGCCAACGACCCAACATCATCTACAGCTGACCATCTCTCAAAAAGCCTCACCCAACAATCTGCTTCACTCTCTACTTCAATACATTGGGCGGTCAGAGCCTCCACCAAATCATCTCTCATTCTCCCACCAAATACAGCATAATTTGGTTCTAAACTCAGCACTGCTCTAAGATCTCTCAAACAGCTCTCGCGGTCACCAATGGCTAGAAATAGCCAAGCCCTCAGCTCGAGACATTCTGGACTAAGCTTGAACTGAATTAATCTATCAATCTCCTCGAAGGCTTCTTTCATCTGCTTCTGCTCGAATTTGATCACAGCTCTGTACTTGTACGGAAAAGTCAGGGTCGGGTCAAGTTCAGTGGCGGTTGCTAAATCTTTTAGTTTCTCAACCCCAACGTTGTAAATAGACCTCTCTTGGTACATCCATCCATGTGGCTTGTGATTAGAGATGATAAAGTTCATGATCTTGTACGCGGAATACCTCTTCCCTTGCTTATATTCAGTTCTTGATAACCCAGCCAATGAGTAGACATGCCCTAAGCTTGAAGCTAATCTGAAATGAAACTGGGCTGCTTTATAGTCCTTTCTCTCAAACAGAACACATCCCATTTGATGCAAAGACAAAGCCTTTTGCCAGTTTGTGCGAGCAAACTCTCGAGTTCTCTCTAGCAATATCAGCATCGGCTCCGTAGTGAGTTTCTCGTCCATACCTACTTGGCTGAGGAAGTAGTACAACAGGAACAAACACTCTGAACCCAGAAAAGCTAATTGTTCTTTTGTTTCGGGACAGCAGAAGAATCTCATCACTTGGGGATTTTGGAGGGACATGGGAAGCTCTCTTAGAAACACCTGCAAGCAAGCAGATAAGAGAAGCTTTGTGCGTTCCTCTAACGCGTACTCTACAAAGGTTAAAGCTCTATCGAGGTTTGTGACAGATGAAGCCAAGCGAGCCTCACACGCAGACTTCAGATCGTCACAGCAGAACTTGCTGGCTAATTGAAGCAGCTCAAATACAGTTTCAACACGAAACAGATGAACTCTTTTGATCCTACTGTATATGTTAAGTGCCAACATTGCCTCAATTGAGAAGCCATTTTCAGAGAAATCAATCTCAGAAGTTGTTGATTCCACGAAAGAACCATACAACATGGCCTCAAAAGGACGCGAAAGAGCTGCGATCCGCGACCTAACGCACTTGGCCTTCTCTGAACCTACGCAGAAGGAAAAATCACTAGCCTCATCTAAACCCGAAAACTCATCAGCCCTAGAGATTTTAATGCCATCACTAGCAAAGTTGTTGTCCTCATATTCCGTAGAGCAGTTACAATCCTTGTCGACTACATCCAAATGATAACCATGAGTCAAACTAGTCTTAGGACATTCAATAGAAAACCCATTACAGTCCATGGAATCGACACCCAGGAGTTCGTGTTCTCTCCTATCAAATCTCAACCAAGCAGACAAAACAACCTTACAAGGGACATCAATGGCGTGCCTCCTGGCGTTGAGCAAGCACCTGCGTAAGAGCTTGGCATCACCGAGACTGCGTAGAACAGCGTACTGCTCAAGGTAGAGCATGGACGTCTCGGGTTCCGAAGCGGACTCGATTCTGCGGTAAAGATTGGATAATGACTCCACCAAGTCGATAGGTTTGAGGTAAGACTCCAAAAGAGGCTCGAGGAGCTCCGTGGTGGGGAACCCATGAGGGAGAAGGGAACGAGATATGGATTTGGAAGTGGATTTGGGATGCCCAAAGAAGTTGATTCGAGGGGTACCATTGTTGCTGGTAGAAGGAGAGTCCTGTGAGTTAAAAGCATGGATTTGAGTGCTCTTAAATCTCTCAAAGAGTTTTAGATTGCGCATTTTGCAATATATCTCTTTGAAAAATCTGGGAAAAGGGTAATGATTTTAAAGAACAAATCGAGACGAGATCGTGATGGATTCAATCGAGTCAGGTCGAGTTTGTCATAAACTTTGGTTTCTAGTCTCTGCAAAGGAAAGAGAGAGAGAGAAGAAGAAGAAGTTGAAAACAGTCGCTCTGTCTCTGGTGACAACACACTGCTGCAGAGACAAAAGGTGTGAGAGAGAGACGACGAAGAAGAAGACGATGAAGTGTGATTGTGAGAATAAATAAATAAAGGTCAATAATTTGGGGAGAAAAAAAAGAGTGGGCTTTTCAAAGTAATGGCGTCGATGATCCTCGGAAAAAATAAAAGGTAAAGGTTGAGAATTGTTTTCCCCCTCCGCCAGTGTCTCTCATTTGCAAATCCAATAACCATTTTTTTATAAAAATGGAGAGTCATTTTTCTCATCTGTCATTCGTTCTTTGTCTATTTTTTTGCTTGTTTGGGTTAGCTTTACGAACTTCACTACTCAGACTTCACTGACTAGTTGGTGGTTCCAATGGGTGCGATTCGAACCACACCACTTTACCTTTTTTTATTATTTTTTAATCTTTTGTTTCTTACATAATTAAATGCTGTTTTTCCCATATATATCTATTTGGAAATACTAATACTTTCCTTCTTCATTTTTATTTCTTTCTTTGTTAACTCATAAAACAAAGCTCTCTGACTAATCCAACGTCATGGTTTCATGTGATGCCAAGATAGGTTGGTTAACTAGTTATGCGGTCTTATCCGGTTGGTTATCTCTTATCTTAATAAACTGAGCTTAACATTTTAAGCAAGTACGATTATCAAATAAGCAAGAAACTTGAGTTTTTTTGGTGGGTTTGTTGTGATTTAAATGACAAGCAAAGAAAGTGGTCTTGGATGGATTATATCTACTTTTATTTTTTTTATTCACAGAATCAAATATTGCTAAACCTTTTTTCACTAATCACTAATCACTTTGTTAATATGGTTTTTAACATGTTCAACTCAGTAGTCAGTACAGTAACGTGAGCATGTTTGTTTGTAATTTACATAGAGAAAACATTAATTATAAATAACTAAACACACTAATTAAACTGGATTTACTAATTCAAGTTTTCTAATAATTAGTGACTCTAATATGGTGGATTCGAGAACCAACAACTCTCATAAAACGTTTTGAAAACAATAAAAATATAAAAGTAGACAGAACCAATTCTGATGTTATTTTGCCCGCACACCTGGAAAACACATGCAAGTGTACTTGTTATTAGAGATATATATACACACACCAATAACGAATAACGAATAATTGAGGGTTTTTTTTTCATAAATTAAAATAATTGAAGATTGTTGAAAATAAATACAATAAAATAAAATAAATAATAATTGAGGGTTAGGTTGGTATTATTTGATGAAAAAATATCGAAGGAAATCTCAAACACTGAAATCAATTAATTTTTTTAAAAAAATTAAAGTTAGTTAGTGTGTTTTTTTTTTGGGTTTGGCATAGTTGCAAAATTGAAATTTATAAAGAAATAACAAGGGAAGAGACGTGTGGTCAAGTGTCTCGGCAAGCCATGTGAGGGGAATCTGAATCACTTTTCTATGCTTATCAAAATCTGAGTATTTTCCACCATTATTGAATTGTCTTTCATATAAACTGAATAATGAATTAATCATGGAAAAAAACAATTGATTTGATTGAGAAAAACTTTGACTTTTCTGACCCAAAAAGTCTACTAGACTAACCAGGCCGAATTGTTATAGCAGATACATAATAACAAATTGTGGTCCGTCTGGCTTGATTTTGGGGTCTGATATAATTTGTAACGCTGGAAGCCTATGAAGATCAAATTCAAGCTACACTAGGAACATCTTAATTTCATATCCCAATCTTGATTAGCGAGCATGTGGCAGAACGAGATCAGTTGAACACAGACTAATTTTGCTATGGTGACGAGGGTAACAAAAGAATCAAAAACCTAAATGATGATGATACATCTGGTTTCAGTATCTAGTAAATCAACAAAAGTGAACGAACCCTTTAGAGTATAAAAGTAGAAACCGAAAAATAGTAAAACAAAACAAGCCTTTTTTGGGAAACAAATCAAGAGAGATGGATGTGCCCACTCTTATGGAAATAAATAAGTAATCGAGAAAACCAAACTTTTTGTGCGCTTTCAACTGTCCCAGAAAAAGAAATTAAATGAGATGATGAAGAAGAAAATATCCGAAGAAGAAGAGGTCCTCTTTGTTTCGTGTGTTGCACAAAATGGCTACTACTACTACGACAACAACAACTACTAAGCTCTGCTCTTTCATTTCATCTCCTCCTCCTACTTCTCTCCCTCTCTTCTTCTCTCCGCTTCCACGATTCCTCACTCTTCGATTCGCCACTGGTCTTAGACCACGCTCTAGGTTTCCGACGACGATCGATTCCCGTCATAGGTCTTCTTCTCTCGCCGCCGTTATGTTTCCGGGAAATTCGGTTTTATCAGATTTAAGCGCCTGTGGGATCACCGGCATCGTCGCCTTCTCCTGCCTCGGTTTCTGGGGAGAGATTGGCAAACGCGGCATCTTCGACCAGGTCCCTTTTTCCATACACACACTCGTCGATTCCTTGATTTTTTTTTTTGCATAAGTTTTGTTTTTTGAAAGTTTTTTTTTACTCTGAATCTGCAATTTCCTGAGTAGAAGCAACATTACAATTACAAACTCTTTCTTATGAGTATAGTAGCTGTATCGAGTAATGGCATTAATGGCGAGTTACAAAAGAAAAAGAAAAAACAAATATCAATGTGAATTTGGAGAGGCTTTTGTAGTGAAGATAAAGGGAAAGGAACCCCAATTCTGGTAAATTAGAGTGACAAATGTTCTACACTGCTCAGAAACTATATCGGGGATGCTTTTTTTTTTTTTTCTTTTTTTTGGAATCCGTGCTTTAGAATCACAATATCATCGTAACTTGAAAATTCAATCATATTTTTAGATTTTTTTTTTTAATATATGGTGTTTTGTAAACTTAAATGTTGCATGATTTGTTTGCTATACTTTTGAAGGGCTTATTTCTTGGTATGAGTCTTCATATATGCACTTATTGGGACATATGTAGCTTGGTATGAGGAATGACAGTTAGCTTCTCTATGGTGATGCTGGACTTTGTAACTGCGGAATAGGATGGTTAGCAAATATTCTGTAATGCTTTTTTGGTTGTGGAAACACATGTTTGGCTTTAGCTACTGGCTTTTGCTGACCTTATTGTGATCGAGATATCATCTCAGAACCCATCAAATTTATAAGAGCCACATGCTGTCTGATTCTGTCAAGACCGACTGAACCATTGTATGAAAAATTTATAAGAGGCATTTGGTTTAGCATCTGTGGTTGACATTGGTGTTTTTTCTTGTTTTTCAGAAACTCATCCGAAAGCTTGTGCATATAAATATTGGGCTAGTTTTTATGCTTTGCTGGCCGCTGTTCAGGTAATACTGAATAAAAGGATCGATTTTGATAGGACCACCTTGGCATTTCAGCTTCACCAGTTAATCCCTGTACTAACTATTTCAGTTCTGGAATCCAAGGAGCGCTTTTTGCATCTCTTGTACCTGGACTCAATATAATAAGGATGCTATTGCTAGGGCTAGGAGTGTACCACGACGAAGGAACGATCAAGTCAATGAGCAGACATGGAGATCGCAGGTAGCTGAATCATACAAAGTACCTATCACATGCTTAGAATATGACTTTAATTGGATCACAACTTTTTAACTAGCTCTTAGCAATCTTGGTTACTAACTTTCCTTGATCAAGATTCAAGACCCACTGTTTATTATTTCTTTGTGTCACTTTACAAAGTGTCTATAGTTGTTCTCTGCATCAGGGAACTACTTAAGGGACCTCTTTATTATGCACTTTCAATCACAGTGGCCTGTATCTTCTGTTGGAAAACATCCCCAACCGCGATTGCGGTGATATGTAACCTTTGCGCAGGAGATGGTAGGTACAGTTAGCTTTGGTTTGACAGAATAACATTAGCAACTTTGTATCAGGAATTTGAATCGATTGAATGATGAATCTTATACACGCGTGTTTCCTCACTTGATGTTAAAAGGTATGGCTGACATTATGGGGAGGCGTCTTGGAACAGAGAAGCTTCCTTACAACAGAAACAAATCATTTGCTGGGAGCATTGGAATGGCCACTGCCGGGTTCATAGCATCTGTTGGCTATATGTACTACTTTGCTTCATTCGGTTACATCGAGGATAGCGGGGGAATGATTCTTCGTTTCGCCATCATCTCTATAGCATCAGCTCTTGTGGAATCACTCCCCATTAGCACCGACATTGACGATAATCTGACCATCTCGTTAACCTCTGCATTGGTTGGTATTCTACTCTTCTAATAATGCCCTCCGTTTGTTCTGTATCATCAAATAAAGGGTCTAGCTTGATTGCCATTAGGAGGTAAAACTCCATTCATAATCCGTATCTTCTTGTATATGTACGTATTAGTGAAAATCTCATATTGTTGTTGTCCGTGGATCTTAATTTTCAGCTGCAATTGCAGCTGGATTAAATGTTGTAATGTTATATCCATTAGTGAGACATAATGATGAGTTACAGACGTTCTACAATTTGTAATAGACAATCAATACAAGCAGATGTTAGTTGTTTGGCCTGTTGGGGTACGTCGAAATCTATTGTTTGCTTACAACAGGCAAAGGCTTGAGTGTTCCACTAGAGGAAGCCTCTTCTGACAGGTCGGACTGGTGACTGTAACGGCGTTTAAGACAAGGAAGCAACACGAGGAACAAGAGGAAGAGAGCAAAGCTGGTGACAAGAAGTAGCGTCAAGATCTCACCATGCATGGCGTAGTGTTTGTCTCTTGTGAAGGGAAGTCCCTCGGCGTCTTCAGGACTCAGGGCTTCGTCCACCATCATAGTGACCATTAGAGCAGAGGTACTCTCTTATTCTTAAATCACAACTCCTGCTCTATAGATTAATAATGGCTGCTTCACTCATCATCTTTGTTCATCTTCGAGGGTTGCGTCTGAAATATATTCTCAAACGAAGAGAAACTATGTCACCACCACAGAAGAAAAGAAGAGTTTAAATAAATATGAATAGAGATAATATTAGTAGATAGATTTGTGCATAAAGGTTGGTGTAGAAGAAAGTGAGATTCCGACGTTGAGTGATTGCGCTATATATGGTTGGCGTTGGGATAATGATATTACGCACGACGTCGTTGTCGACTTTTGAATAAAACCCTTATCGTGTGGCTCCCATAACCTGGCTCCGGTGACTTTCCCGGAAATTTCCGTAAGAGAGAAGAAGAGACCCTCGTGTCTCTCATTCTTTGTTTCTTCTCTTTCTCCATACAAAAGAAAACAAAATTGATTACTTTTTATTTATTTATTTGCTAGTCCAATCAAACAAAATGACTATCTATCTTCTCACGCATTCTCCAAAATAAAAAGCGTTGTTTTTGTATGCTTGTGTTGGATTCGAGTGATTGTGAAAGTCTGAAGAGATCTACAACGACGCGATTGCGCTAAACTACAGAAAAAGCAGCAATACATAATTTAATGGGCCTTGAGATGGGCTTTTATAAAAATGTTTAGCACAAAATTAGACGACGTGGAGTGCATGTCTCTACGGTCGCGGTGAAAGGGATACCGTGTCGTTTATATGATTAAGAGAAGAAACGGTTGCCGTTTTCTATTTTTAGCTTTGGCCTGGGTGCCGTGGCGAGCCATTGATGATGATGGCTCGTTGTTTCTCCCCCTGAGTGAGTTAAGTAAAAACTAAAAACTCTCTCTCCCTCCTCCGGCTCCGTTCACCGCCGCGAAGATCGGCTGTATACTGTAAGCTTTCTGATTCTATGGCAATCTCGTCTCTGTAGTTTTTATGTATAGAGACTGGGTTTGTATGTTTAGCATGTACGCGTGCTGATGTAGCTGTATAAATTGATTCCGAACCTCTAAAAGACGAATCTGGTAGATATAGTGATGGCATTTTTTTCGTTTTGTTTTGTTTATGGCAGACATTTTATGCATCCCGATTCATAGAGGTTTCAATGTCTGGAGCAGAGGGTAATAAATCTTCTCATACTGAGGTAATTGTTCATTTAGTCTCTCTGTCTCATCTGATGATAAATTGCTTTGCTGTGTAAAGTTTATATGTCTGGTATTGAACTCAGTTTCATTGTTTGACATCAATTTACTAGAACCTGAATTGGAAATTTAGAAACTTTGATAGACTGGTAGTAGTGTCTCTGGTAGTGAGCAAGTCACTCATACATATTGTTCCCCTACTGATCAGCAGCACTTGAGTTAGCTAGAGAAAGACTAAGAAAAGTGAACCTTTTTGTTGAATCTACACTCTTATTTTACGAAAGTTAATAGTTAAGTTAAGAGTTAAGTTTCTTTGCTCTTGAATTTTGGTTGCAGCTTTCGTCCCAAGTTTTTCTTGATCTTGTGGATTCAGTGATTGCTGATGTAGCATCTGAGTGTCACCGGGTAGCACGACTAGGGCTTGATCGTGATTTGGAGGTAGTAGAAGAAGAGTTGAGGTTGTCTGTGGAAGCTCGTGCTAAGGTCGCTGATCCAAGCAACAACCTTGAAACCAACACCAAATTTGTTGTTGATATATTTGGCCAGACTCACCCTCCTGTAGCTAGTGAAGTCTTCAATTGCATGAACTGTGGCCGACAAATTGTTGCAGGAAGGTTTGCTCCTCATCTGGAAAAATGCATGGGAAAGGTGAACTTTTGCTGCCTCCTTCTCCCCTGGAGCTATACCATTCCGAAATGTGTTCCTCTAGTCCTCATTTTTGTTTTCTTTGGCAATCATCTAACAGGGAAGAAAGGCTCGTGCCAAGGCGACCAGGAGCACTACAGCTGCCCAGAACCGGAACTCACAACGCAGCCCAAATCCACGATATTCTCCATATGCAAATTCTGTTAATGAGAACCAGTTAGCAAGTAGATCACCTGGTGTCGCAGGTGAGGACTGCACAAATGGCACAGTCCAAGAGAACGTAAAAGGAGGCTGAAACACAACGTATGAGAGACTTATACTTGACTGCAATGTGCCTAGTAACTAATTCGACCAGACTTATTATGTACCTTTTTTGCTTCATTTGGTTGATGATACCTTTCAAATATTAAATTGTCTGGTTGGTTCCAACATCCTCATCTTTTTTATCCAAGGCACAAAGAAGATGGAATCCATATATATGCGGATATGCCATATATCCCAATATGCAAGTGACCGCAAGAAAGCATATATATATATATATATACATGCTAAACCTTGCTTACAACAGGTAAAAGGGCTTGAGTGTTCCGCTCGAGGAAGCCTCTTCTGACAGGTCGGACTGGTGGCTTTAACGACGTCGTGAGACAATGAAGGAACATGAGGAAGACGGCAAGGCTCGTGGTTGATTGAAATTGAATGACTATGGAAAGAGATAAATTTCAGAAGAGACCCAATAAATTAAATGGGCCTTGAGATGGGCTTTTATAAGAAAAAAATATTCTTGCACGAATTAGACAACGTGGAGCTGTCTCTCTCACTCTCTATTCGCGGTCACGGTAAAACGGAAACCGTGTCGTTTTCAGAAGAAAAGGATGCCTTTTATAAACGTTTTAGCTCCCCGTTGGAAAAAGTCATGATGATTGGTTTATTTTTCCGCCGAGTTCCCTCCCTCCTCCTCCTCTGTTCACCGCCGCGACTCGGCTCTATCTCTATACAGAGAATGTAACCTTTCTAATTGTATGGAGATTTCGTCTCTGTATGTAGACTGTATTCGTTTTTTTTTTTGTATGTGATGTACACACTCACACTGATAGGGTATAAAATTGATTCCGAACCTCTAAAAACAAATCTGGTAGATAGATAGTGATAGCCTTCGTTGAGACTTCCTCGATTATCTTGACAAGTCCATTTCTCTAGGGCTCGTGATGGGGTTGGACTCTCTCTCACTGAATTCACCTTTTTACGCTTTGATTTGTTTTTTTTCAGAGAGATATTGTAAGCATCTCAATTCTCAAAGGATTCAATAAACAATCTTCTCACACTGACTGAGGTATTCATTTGTTCATTTAGTCTCATCTGATGATAAAATTGGTTTGTTGCTGTGTAAAGGATATATATGTCTGCTATTGAACTCAATTCAATTTCAACATTTTTGACATCATTACTACAATCTGAGACTGGAAACTTAATAACTTTGATAGACTAGTTGTAGTGTCTCTGGTAGTGAATAAGGTTTTCTTTCTTATTGTTCCCCAGCACTTGAGTTATTTGGAGAGTCTTGATGCCAATTTGAATGACTTAACAAAATTGATTACTAATTTTATTTGATCCAGTTAGAAAGTGGGTCACCTGGTGTCGCAGGTGAGGACTGCACAAATGGCACAGCCCGAGAGAACTTGAAAGGAGCCTGAAACACCACGTATGAAAGGCTTATACTGGACTGCAATGTGCCTAGTAACTAACTCGACCAGACTGGTATAAATCGTATTGCTAGGTTTTATATTCAGTTTGCACAAAGTGAGAAGTGGAAATCGGAAAGTAAGTAGCTGAGGCTCATAATGTAGCTATTTCCACCAGCTTAATAACCTTGGCATGTCAATTGCAGAATGAAATGAAATCAGTCTTGGGATCGATACTATATTTACCAGGTAAACAACTTGTCTCTTTTTCCCACTGCACTTTAAGCTCTCCTTTGGCTTCTATCTCATCTAGTTTAAGCATTTGTACCATTAAGCAACTCTCTTTCAACCCCCAAAAGCTCCTAGTCTGCAGCTTTGATACTTCCTTGAACATTCCCCTCCAATACGAATAACCTAAATGGTTTGTGGTTCTAATGACTCATTCTTGGAACTTTGGAAGCATAGAATGTTACTCGCAAGGGGTAAACATTTACATATCCTTAGGTCAAAGGTTCAAACATTAAAAATTAACAGCGATAAGAGCCTAGTCTTGTGTCTTGTATTGTACAGATTTTACGGGAAAGAGATGGTTGTTGATACAAGAGGATATAGTAGGTTCACCTTTTTGGAAAGCTTATCAACCTCATCACTCACTCCCACCGATTTTGGCCTTTTGTACGTTTCCCAATCTGTGAATAGTTAAGCTTTTGTCTTTGGGGAAGAATTAAGTTAATGTGAGAGTTTTCAGGGTTATGTCTAAAATAAAGTACAAAGAGTGTTAGTAGAGTAAGCAATCAAAAAAGTAAACTTTGAAAACAACCTCTCAGCTCCTTTTATGGGAAATCATACTCTGATCGTAATCGTATCATTAAAATATCATAAAGGTTATATATGTTGTGGCCATTGTAGAGTTAACGTTTCTCGTAATTCATCACTCGTTTTCTATTTATCTCTTTGTTCTATATACATGTACAATGTACATGAAATTGACTAGTCTTTAATAAAACTGCAAAGCACGGTGTCCTACTGTGAATATGAAGTGATAGGGAAGCTAGAAGAAGATGCCAAGAACAATGGAAAATACAAAAGCATAACTTTAAGTTTGTAACAATAAGTTAAACAGTAGTTGCTTTTGATCCCAAACGAGAGAAGTGAGTGAGATGATGTAGGCCTTTTGAGATTCTCTAACACATTTCACTGTCGCTTTCTACGCTTTTTTCAATTTCTCATCACAACTCTCTTTGATTTCACATTGGGATCCAATTGAAAGAATTATAAGATTAATTGAGATTACAAACGTCATGAGGTAATCGTAAGCATAATCATAAGATTCAACCTAAAAAGCTTGAATCAAGTAGATGATTACCTCTGTTGTATACTTCTACTTTTGGTTATTTTCATTTTCCATTACCAAAACTGTTCACAACAACATGTTTGTATTGATCTAAAGTATTTAATAATTATAACGTTTACTTAGACAAACGGCGACACTTTGTTACGCTCCGATCTACTACTAGTGCTACTACAACTTAACATCCTCATCAACGAACTCGAGGCTGATGACGTCATTGACATTGACCTCCGATCACCTCTTGATGATCCTCCACCGTTGATCTCCTCCTCGTCATACACTTCAATTCTAACCTCTCCTTCTCCGACGCCGTTACGGTCTCCGTCTCCGTCTCCGTCGTCAACCCCTGTTTTGTGATCATCTTCCATCTCAGGAAGGGACAGTGAGAATCTCCGATCATCTTCTCCGGCTGGAGACAGTTGCAGTCTAACCTCACTTTCTTCTTGGACGGCGTCAACGGCCGGCTTGAGGTTGTCGTCAACGGAGGGGGGGAGAACAGGGGAACGACAGAGAGGGCAAGTGGAATGAGAAGACAACCACATATCTATACACTCCACGTGAAACCCATGTCCGCAATTTCTTAGCTTTCTTCCAAATTCTCCGACTTCCCACAAACCAAGACATATCACACATTCTTCTTCTTCATCATCATCTTGATCCTCGTCATCTTCGTAAACAAACAGAGGAATCGAAGAAATCACTGACAAATCCAAACCTTTGTCATCGTTTGTTGTAACAACAGCAGGGGCGTTGTTAACTCCAGCATCGAAACCTCCGAGTCCGAGTGGGAGAGAAGGTATGATTCTTGTTGTCGTCACCGTTCTTCTGCGGGTACGTCGTCGTCTCCGGCGGCGTCGAGCGAGGGAGGATAAATCTTGATGATAGGGAGACCAGAAGAAGCGAGCGTAGAAATGGAGAAGCAAAACGAAGAGGACGACTAAGAGGAGGAAGACGAGAGCAGCCAAAAGAACATTGGAATTGTAAGAAGATAAGATCTTGAGGAAGCTTGAGAGACTGCTTTTAACACTCTTCGAGCCGTCTGCTTGTTCGCTCATCATCTTTTGCTTTGCTTATTCAGAGCCTTTTTCTCCACTCTCTTGGATCACCTCATCATCATTTCTCTTAAAGATTTGTTGGGAGTGTTAAACTATATATATATATATATATATATATAATAATTGATAAAGTAAAATGTATAATACTGTATACTACTAGTGTATTATAGGGAAAATCAAAAACACGTAAAACAAAGAGAAATAAATTTATTAGCTAGTGATCCTCATTTATTTTATAAACCCATAAAATCTGGATATTTGGTCAACAATAAATTTATAAATTTAAAAGATTATTTAAATGAAGTAACTAACTCTCAGGTCTCGAACCAATTTTTTTATCGAGTGAGAAAATAAAGAATTTTGATTGAGTGGGTCATTGTCTTTTAGTGTGTTGTGGTTGCAACCAAAATAATAGAGTTGGAGGAGGAGGAGGTTGTGATCAGTCTTAAAACAAGCTGGGGGTGGGGTTTGTTTTTTGCATCTCTATAGATCATATTAAGTTTCTATTAAAATTGTTTTATAGTATACACACTCGTATTTAGGTTTCAAACACATCCCTTAATTAATTATGACATAAACAACTTACAAAAGACAGTCTCTCGTTACATCAGAGGGGTAATCTTACGTTTCTATAGCATATCTCCTATATTGTCATTTAGTAGAATAAAATAAGTCCATATAAACGCATTACAATATTATTATAATCATTCATTCCAATTATTTGATAGTTGTTTAATAATTCTCTTCTCATCGCTTATATTTTCTTTCGTAAGAAGATCACAACACATCCCCTATAAATCGTGGAAGATTCGGAGGTTTTTTTTGTTTGTAGTCAGCAAGAATAAATTTATACGCAAACAAATAAGAATGAGAAATTTTTCAAGATCAAAGAAAAAGAAATAATGGAGGTAATAATATTATATAGAGACGAAGAAGAAGAAGAGTAGAAGTAGGTAATGGTAATGGAGGTCACATGAAAGGTAGCTTAGAAAAGAAGGCAAGTTATTAGGGAAAGAGATCGTTAGAGGGAGATGGGAAGATATTACGTGAACATAAAGCAAAAAAAAGTAGAAGACTAGGAACGCTGCTATATGCTATTTCTCTTTTTTTCATCAATACCTCCTCCTCTTTGTTTATTTCTCTATTTAATCAAAATCCTTATACTCTTCGTTAGTAATGGGATCATATCAATACATACCTGAGAAATATATAATTTCGATGTTCACAGGACCTCATCACGAGGAGCCGAGGATGGTTTTTGATGAAACTTGCAATATTAAGTGCTGCAGTCGTCAAGGCCACGGAGTTTACCCAAGAAAATAACAAATCCCCATGACCTTTTTTTTTTTTTTGTTTCTTTCACTTCTCGATATTACAGTACCATTACTATAGATTAGAATACTCCTAACTTTTGATTAGCTAAAAGGGTCAAACATGTTTCCATATAAGAGTTTTTTTATTATTATTATTTGTTTTTGCATTATTTTCAGATATAGAGTGCAGGTACTTGAGTGGCATAATAATTGTTATCAATAGGTGTGAGAAAATGACTTACCTTGACAATGGCAGTCATGGGACAATAACAAGGATGATATAAATGTAGTAGATAGGTAAGAAGAGAGGTGAGAGGCCTCTGTGATGAGGGATTTTTAGAGTCTAAAAGAACTTTATTGACCAGAAAAAAAGTCACTCTTTCTTCCCATGAAATAAGGATTTGCAGTTGCACTTGCCAACAGCTCCCTACTCCTTATTTTTGGGCCTCTCTTTTTTTCTTTTTCCAACTTCCAAGCATTTTAGCCTTCTTTACTTTTTTTTTTGAACACCTATCATTGTTGGTCCATGTTGTAATGGTTAGCTAGCTTTATGCATTCAGTTTCTCCTCCATTTGGTTTGTTTTGTTGTACACAGTTGCATTATAAAGAATGAAGATATTAAAAAAAAAAAAAAAAAAAAAAATACATTCAAAACGTACTTAGAAATGGGACATACCATAAATCTGATATTCAAGGGAGACCAGACCAGCTCATGGTCGAACAACAAAATCTAAAGATGGTTGAGACGAGACGAGAGATAGGTAAGTGCTTAAAACATGGTGTTATTGTGGTGGAGCCTTTCGTATTTTTTGGGTTTAGGTCCAGTCCATATGTTGGCCCCTAAATTAACTCACTAGTGTTTTCACTTTTTAGAACCACCACATTATTGTCACAACTCATAACATCATCATCCCCTATGAATGGAATTGTCGCAATTCATTCATGTCAATTACTAAATGTAATCTTCTGGTCAATCCATTCCGGAAGATTTATGATGAAAGCTTACAATAATAGTAGTATGATGAGAAAAAAAAAAAATGTTATCTTTAGCCAAACGAGAGTGTAAAAATACCATAGATCATAGTCGAAAACACTTACACAACAACAGCATAAAAATAATTAAAAAGATTCTCTTTCTCTAACACAGCGCAAAAGACTTGAAAACCTTTGAGAGGCGACAGTGGAGAAAACTCCTTTTTGAAGCTACCACCATGTTCAGTGCCAAGTAATATATCTATATATATCTTATATTATGATTGATTAAAGTAAAACACTTTTAATTTGATCACTCTGCTTTCTTGTCTTCTTCCTTGTCCTTTGTTGTTTCTTTCTCTTCCTTTGCAGGCTCTTCTTTTTCTGCTTCCTTGGTTTCCTCCTCGCTTTTCTTATCTTTGACAGAGAGATTCTCAAGTAAACCAGCTGCCTCGTCGCCCTCTTTGCTCTCTTTCCCTGCTTGCTGGCTTTCAGCTATTTCATTGAACTTCTCCATAAACGTTTTGCAATCTGTTGGTGCAAAGACTATCAGTTAGCCACTTGAAAACCTAAAACCATAGAAGTTGATCATGTAGACAGCACAATACTGTACTTATTACCTAGGGAGACTTTTTCTACTCTCATAGCAAATATCAGCATCTTACACACTAAGTCACAGCATATATACGACTATGGTAATTGTTTAACATCTTACGGATCACATTATCCTTTTGCTTATATCCTTAGTGATAAGACCCACAACCTCAGACACCAACTGAGTCTAGGACAATGGCTTGAGATATTAACACTTTCACTAATGATCTAAGATAACAATGTGTCCCTAGCACTAGGCAACAATCTAAGTACTGTCACTACAAAATCAGAACCGTTTTTGTTTCTGTCTTCAGCTCTCTATAAGAACTTGATTAATCACAATCCCCGAGACTTCAACTGTATCTTCACAACTAGAGTCATGTAAAGGGTACTTTCAACACCACCTTCTCTGATTCGAGAACCCCAAATTACGACTATCACATAAATGATCTCGAATACTGAATGTTAACCACAATACTCCTAATAAAAAATAAGTATACAGGGAATGAGAAAGCCAAGGATTATACAAGAAAACTTACTCTCAATAGATGCAAATCTAATGCAGAAGAGCTCATCCTTTAACTCGCCGTCGGAGAAATCAGTAGCGTGCCATAAACATGACTTCTCATTTCCACTATGTTCCTGAACACTCATCCCAGACGAAACTGCAGGTACAAACACATAATTCCCACAAGAGATACACGAATTTTAGCCCATAGAAAAAATAGAAATCCAACAGAGAGTGACGCAGAAATGAGAATAAAAACATACTGAGGTGATTGGCACAGATCTTAAGGGTTTTAGACTGTCTCATAACAAGACGAACTTTGCCAGTCTGCTTATGCTTCAACAGCTTGACAGTTCCAGCTCCTCTCTCCTTCCATTGGTTCCCATCTTTATCGAATCGATACATCTTCGATTTACTTACAGATCAAAAAAATAAACAGAAGGCATCTCAATCAAAATCCGACACTAAACCTAACAGGAGAAAAGGACACAGAAATTGGAACAAAAAGTGTAATAGAATGAGTAACATACAGATCGAGAAGAGCGTCTTCATCTTCTTCGCCGGTGGTGACAGCAACCTCTTCAAGCCTGACGATCGGAGCGACCTGAGCTCCGGTGTCTTCATCTTCGTGGACTTCAGCTTCCTCTTCACGGTTCTCACGCTCTGGCTCAGTGCTCGCCATCTCTGTATCCAACTGTTGAAAAGAGTGTGCAACGTTTGTTGTTCAGTAGAAGTTTCGAGGACCAGAAGAGAGAAATCGGGAACGAGGGTTTTTAAACTTTATAATCCAAAGTTAGGCTTCAGAACTATCTTATGGGCTAATAGGCCTCTTAAACTCAGCCATTTAAGCCCATTAAGCCCCAAGTTCGACAATACACTTGATTTTGGTTGGTACATTTGGATGAAGCTTAAAGTGAAGTCATGTAGACGACAATGCCACTACGGAAGAGAAGAAGACATTCATGGCTAAGGAGTGCCACAACACAAAACCTAGACAGTGATATAATCAAGCCTTATCGTGTAAAAGGTAGAGTAAAGCATTTGAATAGTATTAAATCTCTATAGAAAACTGATGTATACGTTTATCTAAATTTAACACCAATTGCCTCTGACTCTGAGCCACCAAGAGGACGAACGTCGACCATTATGAGTATCTTCTTTAATTTAATACGAATTTTATTAGTTTTGGTATCTTCGTTGACAAACCAAAACTAGCGTGCACGCATGGAGTTTGAGAGTCTGAAATGGATTATTTACAAAATGATTATACTAGTGTAAGTGTTGCTGACATTATTGGCATTCAAGGTGCGGTTTGTAGACAAGGAAGTGTACAAAATTTGAGAGTAGAGAGCACATAAGTAGGTAGTTACTCATTTGATCTCTCATACCACCAACGGTAATAGATTTTGGGAACGACATTCATATTTTTTTTACTTGTTGCCTTGTCTTTAAAGTACAGTTCGTTGCTATGATCTTTTACATTTGGTACATAAACACCTTTTCATTGTACATAATTAATGAAAGATGAACTAGCAAGTATCAACACATGACCGATATTAGCAGCCGAGACGATCTATTTTTAATCAAGTCACACTAACTTGCAAGTACCAGTACAAAAAAGAATCTTGATCAAGCTGACGTGTCTCCTCCATTTCAAAACTCGTTCGGATTTTTCAACTGCGAATGAATTCTATCAAAATGGCATCTATCTCACAATGTGGTCGGAGCAATTCTATGACAAGCAAAGACTAAAATTCCATTGTCATGAGATAGTCGTAGGTTCCTGAATTTTACGGGATTACACAATGCTAATAGTAACAGTATTAGTGTTTGTATACAAAAGAATGGTCAACAATCAAAAGCCAAAAAGATATATATAGGTATTGTCTTGTGTCAGCTTAGATATGAATCATCAACGGGATTAAAATCCTCAGACAGGGATAACTGTATTTTTCATATTTGTTCTCATCATCCACAATCCTAATACCAAACATCCTCGTAAACTTCTCAAATCAAACAAAAACACATGATAACTAGAGAGAGACATAAGCCTCACACAAATTGCAAACCATTATAACTTCCGAATCATATTAGTGTTTGTGTGAATGTGTTGTGTCAGATTACAAATCAATCATCAACGGGATTAAAATCCTCAGACAGGGATAACTGTATTTTTTGATATTTGTGTTCATCATCCACAGCTCAAAACTTCATTTTACATTTCTTGTAAATTTCTCTAATCATGATTTTTTTTTTTAAATAAAAAAATCACAAAACAGAAGCCTCAGACCGTCCTAGTCAAGAAAGATAATATTTCAACACTGAAAAGTTCAGTAACCATTATATCTAATCTTCATCAGCCTCTATTATCAGATCTAAACAAAAACCATTTCAAGTAGCACGAGAAAATGAAAGTTATTACTAAGATTTGAGATTTCAAAAGAAAGAAGAACTCAGTCCCTTAGATGTTCATAATGAAATGCGATCATTACCGCAATCATTACAGGTCTGTAAATTGACTCATCACTGTTCTTCCATAAGATTACATAAAATAAATCAAATCCGGAGATTAAAGAATATATAATATAGTTGCTCAGGTGTGTTTCTCCCACATCAACATCAATGAGATTGTATAAATACAAAAGCAAGGAAGATGAGTGAGAATATAAAAAAACGAAAGCAACACGATTGATTTTGCTTCAAGGGAACGAATCATATGGGAACGAATAAATCCCATAGACTATCTGATGAAGCCAATTACTTTCAATTCAGAAACCGTGAGACAAAAACACTAGAGAACCAATGTAAGAGACCAGTATCAAATAAAAGAGAACCCAAAAACTACGAAAATTACAGAATCAAAGAAGAAGCTTCTAAGTGAACTGAGATTCTATTGATGCTGGCTGCTAAAACCTTTAGAATTCACCTAGTTGATTAGACTATGCACTAGAACTTCTTATATTTATATTGAAAAGTTCTGAATGAAAAAAACCCTAAAAGGCTTGTAACTGAGCCCATTGAGTATATTTAAACAGGCCCAATAAGGTGACTTTTTTTTTGTCGTTGCCTCTGTATGTTGTTGTTAGTACTCTGCTTTGTAGCCTTTGTTGAATGAAATTAAAATTATAAATCATTAGAAAGAAAATTTCCTCAAAAGTTTATACAATTGACTGCCTCCTTAATCGTAAAGATTCTCTTCCAATGTGTTAAAATATTACTAACCGAAAATAATATGATGGAAGAAGATTAGAAACGGGCTAATAGAAGAGAATGGTATACAATAACTGATTCCACGTATCAGGTAGACCAGGCAAACACCAATGGCTACAATCTGACTGGTCCGGTCTAGCCCTCTGTGAACCGCTAATGAGACCGCTGTATACAGACGGATGACCGTCTTTTCTGAGGGAAGAGAGGAGTGTTATGTCGAGAAGAAAAGCCGGATTGTGCATTCCGTGTAGCACTTCAACGATCACTGATCTTAGCTGATCTGAGTATGAACTCACTGGGTAAGCTGCTCCTGTGATCGGTTCTGTTTCTCCGTAGCAGTTCTTGGATCCCGAAGACGATGATGCCGCCCAGTCACTCGGGCTGATCATTCACAAAACACATACAAGTTGTTTCAGGACATTCCTTTCAAAAACATCATAAGTGATTCAAGTTTAACAACTGACAGAGAAAGAGAGAGTTACTTGTCGTGTGTTGGAGAAATGGAGAGGAAGAAGACTTGGGTTCGGGATCTATCAACGTGGGTTTCGACCCAATATGCCCAAGTACGAAGTGCTTTCTCCATTGCGACGAAACGGTCCATGTCTTGGTAATAAGTATTGCCTGATTGAATCAAGTCCCATCTATTGTTCACAAAGGAGATCAATGCATAAGCATATAAAACACTTTTGACATTCCAGAATCAAACAATTGGAAGTGTTAACTACTAACCCTTGCATATTTCCAGTGTGGCTCCACCAGTGACCGGTGTTGAAGATGAGGAGATCAGCATCGTGCCACGCATTTGCATTGCCAGAGATCTCATCCAGTTTCAACACTCGCTTGCCTTGAACAGAGTCTATATCCACCAAGAACGGAGCTTTGTAAAACGACATGGTTATCCCATAGTCCTAGACATCCAAAAACAGTTTCTTACAGAGCCTGAGACACAAAACGTAAGACACTGAAGGAATAAGAACACAGAGAGAGCATTACCAAGAATTTGAAGATGGAGAGGGGGAGGCCTCTCCTCATTTCGATCTGAGTGGAGGGTGCAGATGACATAATGAGGCAGATCAGAGACTCCCACTGATTCTTCCCCAATGAATCACCCGCAAACATTATGGTTTTGCCCTTCATTTTCGACAGAAACTCAGCACCATTGAACCTACTCCATTTGCGTAGACAAGAAATTACACACTATATCCACAAAATCTCTTATCTAAAAGACAACCTGATTTAATAGCAATCGAAAAAAAGCTTAAAGAGACGGAACTAAAGTAGAATACTTTCAAATGGGTTCGCAAAAAGAATACATTTTGACAACTAAACTCGGTCAAAATTTCAGATTTCAGATGAACTGGAACCTCACTAGCTACGAGTAAAAACACAAGTTATCAAAAGAAAGAAGAAGAGGGAGAAAGTAAATACGTGGGTAAATTGCAATTCTGAGGCTGCCATCGATACTTGAGGTAGTCAGAGTCGGGACGACCGTACATCTGGCAATCGAACTCAGGCTCGACGATCTTGGGACAATCCGCAGGTTTATAGAGAGGATAAGAGTTGTCACGAACCCAGGTGCCGAGGAAGAGAGTGCAAGTGCTCCTGTTCCCTTGGAAACCAGCTGATGGTCTGCTCGAGCTGTACTGGTTACCACTACTACTGCTACCTGAGCTTCCATGGCGTTTCTTCAAGCTCAGTATAATGGCTGAAGAAGATTGTTCTGGTTGTTGAAGGAACAGAAGAACAACAAGAAAGAAAATGGCGGAGACCGAGATGCCAAGAAGATGAAGAGAACCCATCTTTTTGCTTTTTCCCGGAAAACACAAAAAAGGAAGCTGTAAAAATAATTGAGTTGAGAGATGGGAAAATAAATATCTTTAGAAACAATAGTGTGTCTTGTTTTTCAGATTTTTATTTTATTTTTGGGGGTTATCTATGGGTGGTGTTGTCTCTGTGCAAATGGGTATGGGGCGTTCACGTGGGTCCTCTTACTTGTGTAAATTTTTTACATATTTCAAATTTTTCGTATTATTCGGTGATGAAATCTAAAATTTAAATAATCTTTGGGAGAGAAGATAAATCTAAACCTTGCTAAACTTTTTTTTGTCTTCTTTGCTGGAAGATTTTGTTGGATTAAATTTTGTTTCTGCATGATTAGTTGGATTTATAAAGAAGGCACCTATAATTGATAGCAATAGATTTGAAATGAATTATTATATATCTCAAAGTTATGCTTACACAATTCACAAAGGGGGCATATAATACTTTGCTTAATAATAAATACATGCTTCTTCTTTCTTGCAAAATTAGATTTTATATTATCAAAGTGTCAGAAGAGAAGTAAAGCATTTGTTCCCTTCGTTCTTTCTCAATTAACATATTTTTCGACACCTTTGTGGGATTTGTTGTTTCCCAACTTAAAGATTATTATACACAAACAATAATCGTAAAATCTCAACCTTCCATGCTCCAAGATTCTCAACACAGCTCGTGGAGACAAAGTATCTCGACTAGAGGAGGCTCTCCCCTCCGACTGTTCATACTTCATCATGTTAACCTCATGCATTTTGACTTTCTTCTTGTGTAACACTTCAAAATATTGTTCCTCTTCAATAACAATTGTTCATCTTTTTTTATTTCCCTGCAAACCACGAAAAACAATTTGTATGAAGCTTATACGATCCACGGATTCTCTTGCCACAGAGTCAGAAACCTATTTTATTAACTTTGGACTTGATCAGTTCTCCAGCATAGTCCAGATCTCTCGAAACTTGTTTCTCAATTCGTGTCTGTCATTTTCTAACTTATAGATTTACTCTTAAACAGTTTTATCACACATGTAAATCATAAAAGGCACAACCAATGTCAAATCAACATGTTAAGGGTCCTTACTCTCATAGACTCTCCCTCTCCTATTGTAGCCTCTACACTTCTGTTCCAATTCGCTACTCACATTCAAAAGCCTAACCCATCATCTTTTGACTCAGCTAGTTGCCAAGAATAGTCGACATTTCTTGAAACTTGTTCTTCAATCTTATAACTTAAGGACTTTATTGTTTATATCCCAGAGATACAACAATACCACCATGTTATGGATCCTTACTTTCATGGACTCCCCTATTTATTTTTGTATTGGTTACTTAATTCTCAAGGACTCATGCGAGACATTTGCAGCATTTTATTATTTTATTGTTTTCTCGTTGTTTGTTTTTTTTTTTTTTTAATTAGTGAATGAGAGGAGTGAGAGTTAGAACATCATACTCTGGTGGATTTTTGGTGGAGATAGACTCATCGACGTGCTGTTCTGCTTGATGTACTTCTGATCTATCATCAGAAGCAGAATTGTCTTCAGTCCCGAGAATGTCACAGTGTGGTTCACCTAGAGAGACTGCATAAACTGAAGTTTCAAATCCTTATTCAAGATGATTGAGTTTGAAAAGCTTACAGTCTTTGATGATAAAGAAAGCAAACAAAGGGACTTACCTCATCAGCAAAACAAAAACAAAAAACAAGGGAACTTACCTCTACTTAGAAATGGATCTGCCACACTGCTCAAGATCTTCTGGCACAATATTGTTCGTCCGAATTCCAAGAAGGCAAATTTCAGAAAGTCTTTCCTTTTGGAGAGTGTTATCTTTGTAAATCCAAATGAATTGATCCATGTGTTCAGCACGCTTGGAACAGCAGGCAGTACCAGCCTTTCAACTCCCAATTCAATGAGCACCTGGAAAACACAGCATTTTCAATCTAACAGTTAAGAGATATTCAGGATAAGCAAACAAGGCGTCTTGAGCCAAGGGGTGATGTGAATTTTTCATTAGTAAACACCTTTTCGAGTTCATTAATCAAAACCCGGCACATGCCGCGCTGGCGATACTGGAATCTAGTACCAATAAAGGGCATTTCTGCAACTTTATTCCCAAAAATTCTGAAATGGAAACAAACAGAATATGTCAAGCTAATATATCAATAGAGGTTTATACAGGCAACAATTTTTTTGATTTTGTAAATAGATATTTTAAGCTTTACAAAGCCTACCTGACAGTAGCCACAGTAACCAGCTCGTCATTCTTTTCTAGAAGTACCGTGTAAAATCCACTGAAGTTCAAACGTTTGAATTTTGACCTGCAGTTTTTTTAGAGTTAGGAAGTCTGATGGGAAAGAGTGTAACAGAAGGCTGTTGCATGTAATACTTAATGGTATTCCTTGTTTGTCTCTTACCATCTGCCAAAAATAACATCTTCAGCAAGATCTCCACCAGCATGAGGTCTTTTCACAGGCTCAAAAAGTTCATGCATCACATCAAGGGCAACACTCAGTTTACAGTGATTTTCTGCCACATCCTCAATTTTAGAAGCGTCAATCCCACATGTATTTGGTTCCAAGGACTGCAACAATCTCCACGTTAAATTGTCCACGCCCACCTCTCTCGGTTTTCCAATAAGCTCACAGAGATTTTCAAATATCTATAAAAACAGTATATTTTACGTAAGAGCAATATTGAGTATGGCATGCAGTATATAATCTTAACTGCAGCTTTGATTTCCTTTGTTGGCTGCTTAGTTAGTCTTCTGATGGATGGTAATAAACACAAATGGAACACGGGATTTTGATTTATGTACCTTTTCACAGTTTTTGCTGCAAAACCACTTATCTACCAAGAATATATCTAATGAATCACCGGCACCATCATAACGCATGCAGCTAGGGTGATCTATATGAACCACATATAAAACAGAACTCAATATCAATTAATATTTCGTGTTGACCTTTTGTATTAGCATAGGGAAGAATTTTTTACATCTAAGTTCGCATTGCTTGCAACTGATAAAATATTCTTCCTTGGCATATTTGCTAGTAGCGTTCACAATGGTTTGTCCACAGGCACCACAACAACATGATGCGCAGAACCAGTCACCATCTGGAACATCCTGCATTTCCAACAAGAACGTGTTAAGAGACCGTGAGAAAGATTAGTAAATTTTAACCACGGACTTAGTGAAATAAGAGAAAAAGATAAAACCTCCAGCCCAAGACAATTTGCATGGAAGGCAGATGGACATCCATCACAGAGAATCAGTTTGCCGCCATAGTGACAAACGGAGCAAATTACATCGTTCTCCCCTTGACGCAATTTTATCTTCAGAATATTAGGCGGTTGTGCTTTCTTTCTTGCTTCATAGGCTTCTATTTGGCATTCCAAAAGAGATCTTCCATCATCCAGGAAGATATTGGCTCCTGCTCTACAGGATCCACTACCAGCATGAACTTCAAATCCACTTATAGTGAAAATTCGCCGGCAACAACTGCATTTTATACCCTCACGGGTTAGTTTCCCCTCTTTTCTCAGAGTGTCATCCTTTTGGTTATGGCATCGTATAGTTTCCCTAGGTAGCACCACATTGTTGTCGATGAGCCAGGAAAGAATACTACGTGGACTGTGATTTCTTGAGATGGGAGTTATTACCCGCTGCACTCTTTTGCTTGATCGTAACACACGAGTTTTACCACGACCAATTACTCGATTCTTGATATCCATTAACATTCTTGAAGTGTTCCCCCTTCTCATCCTCATATCAACATTTCGCAAACCTGTAATCACTTCTTCCTTCTTGGAGTTATATCTAAGCTTATGTTTCTGTTTACGCTTACTTTTCAACCTTTGTATGCCTTGAGCTTTGGTTTCTGGCTCAAGCCTAACGCAGAGTGTCTTTTTTTGACCCGAGAAGGCATTTCTGGGACAAAAATGGCGGCTCTCCTCCGTGAAAATCTCCTCATTTCCTTGTGTATCACACTCAAGCAAGGTTTCAGCAGGCGGTGTCCTTCCTTCACCAGGACCGACAGTTCTATTCCTCGCCGGCAATGCCAAAACAATACACCTCATTTTCTGGGTATTATACGTCTGATCATCACAAGACAGAATAGGAAACTTAGCCATCCTCGGAGTAGTCAAGGATTCATCACGTTGTTTCAATCTGAAACACACTTGACGAAGAGAATGCTCTGTTAATCTTCCATTTGGTGAGAGGTAGCGAAACCTTTGCCTCCCAGCTTCGTCTACCATATGTTCTATGGTCCACCCCATAGACTTAATATGTTTTCTGACATGTGTGGCCATTTCTGGTGACATTGACCTGATAAAGCTTGACACAGCTTGTGGGCATGATTTAGCAACACAATTAAAAGGATGCCAGTTTCCAGTTTTCTTGTGTAGTATCAACTTTTTATCAACGGCAGTAGATTTCTTGCTGGAAAATTCGGTTTCCCTATTGATGTACCTTGTCTCTGACCTTATACCAGAAACAGAAGTTAAGACAGACAAAGAATGACATATCTGGCTTGCCAGTTGGTAATCTTTGTCAGTGCAGGAAAATTGTTGTTCTTTTTGAGCAATCACTAGCACACCGCTGAGACAAGTATTGGTCTCACTAACCGCCTGAGAAGCTTCTTTTAAGAGCTTCAATTGAGGGAATCTTTCAGCGTCATAATCATGAAGAAACTGGTTAACGGTAATTCTAAGATTATCATCAATCACCTCAAGCATCAAATCTTCCCATAAATACCTAGTAGAGCAAGTCCATTCCTGGATTCTCGCAAAACCAATCCTGTCCCGGATGTCATACCAAAGTTGCTTTACGGAAACCGGGAGATAATTATCCTCCTTATATGTCTCAATCAAATCAAGAAACAACCATCTCCCACGACACTTCCACATCTCTGTACTCTCATTCCAATCCTGAGTAATACGTAAATATTGAAGATCAGCATCCATTTCATCACCCAAATCAGGGAAAAAAACTCTCCTTTTCTCAGAACCATTTTCGTGGTCAAAAAGGACACCTTCCCACCAAGCTTCACTGAAAAATACATCGACGCAGATCCCATACACAAGCTTCGATTTATCAACTTCCAGTTTTGGCGGCACAGGTCTTAAACGTCCACGAAAAGTATCAGAAACGTCAGTACAATCAGAATTCAACCCTTCTACCACATCGGAAACATCAACAGTTTCCACAAGATAATCAGTACCATCATCAGAGAGAATGTTAGCATATCTGATACAACGCCGACATCGCCTTTTCGCTGCAATCACAGTTCCTAAATACCAAGAACCGAGAAACCCTTCCTCAAGACTTCTTACCTAAACGAGCCAAACAATTACTTTCTAGAATTAGAAACCGAAGCAATATTAACTATACTAAACAGATGAGATTAAAAAAGTTGACCAAAAACAGAAGTGATAAAACTCATCGAAAGCAAGATGTACGTTTGCATTAAGCATTGAGACTAGAGAAACTTTCAAGTTAACTTCTAAAATCTCCATAAAAAGCTATCTAGAGACGCAAAGAAACATCAAAAACAAAAGGTATTTATAAAGGAAAAATAGACAATTGCAGCTTTCATAAAAGTCGAATCCACCAATTAGTAGGCTTTGAAGATCAAATCCAAAACGTGAAAGTATACTGCAACAACCTTCCAAAAAAGGCGAAATTCATCAAATTTATTAACAAAAAAACAGATAATAAGTTTGCATTAAGAGTGGAAACTAGATAATCCTTTAAATAACTTGTCAAAAGCGAAACAAAAAGCTACACAAGCACCCAAAAAAGCAAAATTTATAAAATGGAGAAGCAAACAGTGTAGTAGCTTTCACAAAAGTCAAATCTACCAACAAGGCTCCACCATCAAAACCCAAACATTGGAAAACAGCCGCAATTTTATCAAATATCTCTAAACGAAAAGGTGCAAAATCACCGAAATTAGGAAACTCATAAACCCTATAAACCCTACAATCGAAAGACCCACGGTGGGAACGATACAGTCAAGCGGGAGGGAACGAAAAGCCAGTGGATTTAATTACCTCTATTTTTTCACCGGCGAGAAGCTTTTTCCGGCGGAGATTTCTTCTACCGGTGCTGTTTAAGCCGAATTTCGGCTCTTCTTCCTCCGGCGATGGCATTGAAAGCTTCGACTTCGGGGGAGAAATTTGGGGGAAAAGGCAGTCTTAGGAGAGACTTCCGAAAGGGTAGAAGAGAAGAATTATGGGTAAAAGATGAGATTTTGCAGCTACTTTAGGTGTGTGAGTAGCAGCTTTCTCCCCAAGTAACGCTGTACTCTCTCTACCTATAGTCTAATTCCCCTAATTAAATAAGGACTTTGATTTTGTTTTTTTTTTTTGTTGTTTTTATTTTAATTTTTTACAAACGTGGAATAGAAATTTCAATTTTTGGTAAATTTACAATTAGTTAGTGCACAGTTTCCTTTTTTTCCAATCAGTAAAAAAGTACTACAAAGTACAAACAATTACTTTTTTATAAAATCCAAAATTACCTATTTTCACCATCTTATTTCTTATTTTTTCTTCATTCTTTGTTTTTTTTATCTGTTTATTAAGTTTTTTTGTTCTATATTAAACAATAACAATTCACGATTTGTGGTATTTATTTTGTCACTTATCTTTGTATGAATTAACTATACTGAATTACATTTGATTGTTTGGAAATATATTTTACAAGCATAGATAAGATTTTTATGAATGTAATTATGCATATATATATATATTTTTTTTTTTTGAATATTGATGTAATTATGCATATTGATGGAGATGGAAGCAAACTAACCGTATATCTCCAGCGTCTGATCTTGATCAAGTGTGATAAGAATAAAGAGATGTCCATAACGAGTGTGATACAAGTAGAGCCCATCTAATGTATATAGTTTTTAGTGCGTCGTGTAGAATTGTCGTTTGTGATACCATTTGATGCGTTTCCAAGTGCTACAAGTGAATATCTTAAGATGCATATAAAGTTCGATGCCATTTAAAACAAAACCAGTTGGAAATGAATTGTATATAAGCTAAAATTCTATACAAAACTGTTGCCCATGTTCCAAGAAAAAAAATGTTAGTATCAAAACGACTGTCACAGATCGCGGCAAGCAACAAATCAGAAAGAGAGACATTTTTCAAAGGAGACGGAGAGGTGTAACTGGAGATAGACAAAGAGGTATCAAGCGACTATTGTTGTAACTCTTGCTCTTCCAACTATACCTCTTGAAAGAGTGCATATGTATAGATAGAGATAGGAATCCTTTCCACGCAAATTTAATTAGACTCTATCGATCCGCATGTATTTTGTCGCCGAAAATGGATGTTGGGAACATATGATGGATTGCTGAGCAAGGCAAGGTCGTTACCTTATAGGTCTCATCTAAATCACAATGTAAAATTCTCATTTCGAGATGATCGTTATTTTCGGTTCACTTTCAATTGTATAACTTTGCCTACTTGGTATTTAAGAAGAAAACGCGCGAGTACTGTATAAATAATAGATTGACACACACAGTCACACACACACTCTCGAGGTCTACTAACAAAGAAACAAATATATTTACAGAATTATATATACGTATGTCAAGATACGGGAAATTTGTGAAATAGATATTTACACATATTTCATTCATTAATTACCATTTTTACAATATATTCCTGGCCTAAATTTTTTCCGTTGAAGGGGGAGGACTGAGGAGAAACGAGTTGTTAGGAAAGAAGTGATAATGGGCCAAACTTTAGGACTTAATTTATGGGCCTTGAGACATGTCATCATCATCGTATAGACACACACATTGGTGGTGTCGTTATATGTGCTCTTTCTGGCCCAGGAGTGCTTGGCCGCTAGTAGTAGTAGTAGTCGGAGAGAGAGAGAATACATTATAGATACAGTGGATCGAGAGGAGGAGCATAAAAAGTCAAGATGGTCTGTCCAATGAGAAAGTGCCATTTGGGGATTTGTCGTGAGTGGCGTCGGCTGATAAACTAGCAATGGTTAGTCGCTATCAGTAAGGTCCCGCATGCTTTCTTATTCCAATTCATCCTTTTCCTTTATTTTTTTATTAGTCAGACGCAGAAGATGAAGATGAAGAAGAAGAAGAAGAAATCAGAATTCATGGATTCCCTCCCCTATTGGTACACACGCTTATTATACTTTTCTTCTTTCAAAAATAAAATAAAAAAATGAATAAATTATATTACTCCCACAATAATTAAAGCATTTTTTTTGTTACATATATTATTTGTCCTTTGAGTGACTTATAACAAAATAATAGTATTATTTGACTATTAAAAACCAACAGACTTTATGTTATCCATCGCAAAGTTAATTAGAAAAAAAAAGGAATAATCATAATAATGAAAGGGGTTATGTGGAGAATGCGAAAGAGAGCAGCCAACCCCAGTGGAGCAGCTTCGTTAATGCCGCTACACACACACACAAAAAGGCATTGATGGGTTTGTTCGGTTGCATGCATTTGATCTGCTTCCATTACTATAAAACAGTAGTCGTTTTCCTTTTTATAATAAACAAGGGACACTACTTTCATACTTTTTATTTATTAGTATTTTTCAATTTTTTTTAAACAAATACATTAAAAACAAATATCGTACAAACAGTGTCATGGATCACGTACCACTATCTCTAATCACATACCAAATAATAATAATTAATAATATGATGATGCAGACAGAAAATACAAAGTTTGGTCAGGTTTGTTCGAATTCTTTCCATTACCAATATTAATTACACATTATTCTACTCTTTTAGGATATTTTGTTTTACCTAATCGTCTTTTTTGTTGGAATTTGTCGACCGATTAATTTAATGTGATAAAAAGGTCAGTTTCTCTCTACTTTATTAGTATAGATTAGAGTATGTATTATCTAAAATAAACTTTATTAGATAATTCTTATGAATGATAGTAAGTAACTCAACAAATCAGCCGCTTTATGACAAAAAAAAGAGTTGCTATCCATTCGAGACGGTTCCGATTCTGTGTGTGTTTTTTTCTCTTTCTTTCTGGATTATTATTATTCCGGAGCGGTGACAAACCAATTGAAAAGGTGCGTTTATATAGATAAAAATCACAGGCAGTGGTTTTACCTTTAGCTCTCGTGAAAATGTAAGAAGAAAAAAAGAAAAAGAAAAAAAAGTAAGTAGCTCATTTTAAAAACATGCTGACGATGCATGGTTTCCACGTCATCCCACCAAAAACCGGAAAAACGCGTGAAGCGTGACAAAAACCGATGAGTTATGTTCCTCTGTGTATGGGTTCTACCTACACCTTCGTTTCCTTCACATTTTAGATATTATTATTATTTTCTTACACTACAAATTCAATTTAGTCAGAAGGTGAAATAAATAAATAAAGACGAGAGAGAAGGAGAAGAAGAAAAAGAATGATGGAGATGGTGGTCTGTTTTATTTTTTAGTGTAAGCTTCTCCTCTTTATTTATTTATTTTTTTCTATTATTTTGACCTTAAGAAGAAAGGGACAAGGTGAAGAAGAAGAAGAAGAAAAAGAAGGGAAACAAAAAAAAAAAAGTAGGATTTGTTTTCTCAATAAATTGAGTAGTTTAAAGGAAGTGAAGAACGGTTTTGTTTTGGTGGTGGTGGTCGAGAATAAAGAGTGCTTCTTTTTCTCTTTTCCTCTTTGATCAGATTTCTCAAAGGTAGATAAATCTTTTCTCTCTGTTTCTTTGATTACTAAGTGAATATGAGAAAATCCCAGACAAACAAAATTATGAACTTGAGGGAGTTCCATTAATGGATTGAGATTAGTCACACTGGTTATTAGTTTCACTTGAATCCTTATTTATCAAATTTTTAGTTTTTTGGGTTTCCTTAAGTTGTTTGTTTGATTTGCTGATTGGCAAAAGGGGCAGCATATGATTAGTTTTCGATGTTGTGAAATGGTTAATTATGGATCTGTTTAGTGTTTATTTTTGGTTTGGTTTGTTTTTAAAGTTGGAAATTTTGTATCCCAACTAACAAATCCTTCCTTCTCTCCTAGCTTTAATTTTTAATTTTTCGTTTCTGCAGTTTTCAAATCTGTTATCATGTTTATGTTTATGTATACCTTTTTATTCACAAGTAAAAAAGATTCATCCTTTTCAATTTTTTTCTTACTTTTTTTTGCAGTGAAATCAATAGAGCGGGAAAGGTTTTAGCTTTTTTTTCATTTTTGCCATGGGAGATGATGAGCTGTCTCACCTCAAATTCTCTCTTTTGCTGGAGTCATCAGCCTACAATGATCTCTCCGGTTTTAAGTCTCTAGTTGAAGAAGAAGGTCTCGAGTGCATTGATCGGTCTGGTTTGTGGTATGGAAGGATTTTAGGATCAAAGAAGATGGGTTTTGAGGAGAGGACGCCTCTTATGATCGCTGCCTTGTTTGGAAGCACAGATATTGTTGAATACATCATTAGTACCGGTCTTGTAGATGTGAACCGCTCCTGTGGCTCTGATGGTGCCACCGCCCTTCACTGCGCTGTCTCTGGCTTGTCTGCGAATAGCCTTGAGGTCGTTACTCTTCTGCTGAAGGGCTCAGCGGATCCAGATTCTTGTGATGCTTATGGTAACAAGCCTGGAGACATTATTTTTCCTTGTTTGAGTCCAGTTTTTGGCTCGAGGAAGAAGGTTTTGGACCGTTTGTTCAAAGGAAATGATGATTTGACTGAAGTGAATGGGCAAGAAGAAGGAGAGGTTGAGGTTGAGGTTTCAGTTTCAGTTTCGCCTCCTCGGGGGTCTGAGAGGAAGGAGTATCCGGTTGATCCCACGCTTCCTGATATCAAGAACGGTATCTACGGGACAGATGAATTCCGGATGTATGCTTTCAAGATCAAGCCGTGTTCTAGAGCATACTCGCACGACTGGACAGAATGCCCGTTTGTCCATCCGGGTGAGAACGCAAGGAGGCGTGATCCGAGGAAGTACCATTACAGCTGTGTCCCATGTCCTGAGTTCCGGAAAGGGTCTTGTTCCAGAGGTGATACTTGTGAGTATGCGCACGGTATCTTTGAGTGCTGGCTTCACCCTGCTCAGTACAGGACCCGTCTCTGCAAGGACGAGACTAATTGTTCAAGAAGAGTTTGTTTCTTTGCCCACAAACCCGAAGAGCTGCGTCCGTTGTACCCTTCAACTGGATCAGGTGTTCCTTCCCCACGGTCTTCCTTCTCATCTTGCAACTCGTCTTCTGCTTTTGACATGGGACCGATCAGTCCTCTTCCTCTCGGTGCATCAACCACACCTCCTTTGAGTCCTAATGGCGTATCCTCTCCTATTGGTGGTGGCAAAACGTGGATGAACTGGCCTGCCATTACTCCTCCTGCATTGCAGCTCCCTGGAAGCAGATTGAAGTCTGCGTTGAATGCAAGAGAAATCGATTTCTCAGAAGACATTCAAAGTCTTTCTTCTCCAAGTAGATGGAACAACAACACACCCATGTCAGCTGCTTCATCTCCGTTCTCTGGAAAGGGAATGAACAGGCTTGCAGGAGGAGCAATGAGCCCGGTGAATAGCCTAACTGATATGTTTGGGACAGAGGATAATACATCGGGTCTACAGATCCGACACAGCCTTATTAACCCGCAGCTGCATCCAAACAGTCTATCTTCATCACCTGTGGGAGCCAATTCTCTGTTTTCAGTGGATTCCCCCACAGTCTTGACTTCAAGAGCGGCTGAATTTGCTCATCAGCGAAGCCAGAGCTTCATAGAACGCAACAACGGACTGAATCACCATCCCACAATCTCTTCCATGACTACAACTTGTCTAAACGATTGGGGCTCATTGGACGGGAAACTTGACTGGAGCGTCCAAGGAGACGAGCTGCAGAAGCTCAGAAAATCCACTTCTTTCCGTCTCAGAGCTGGTGGCATGGAATCAAGACTTACCAATGAAGGGACCGGGCTCGAAGAGCCAGATGTCTCTTGGGTGGAGCCGCTGGTGAAAGAACCACAGGAAACAAGACTAGCTCCAGTTTGGATGGAGCAATCATACATGGAGACAGAACAGACCGTGGCTTGAATCAAAGTTTTGAACTTTCATTAACTATTCCACAAGAAGCAAAGTCAGAAAGATTCCGAGAGGTCGTTACTAATCTATTACATTTTATTTGTTTAATGTTTTGTTATTTTTCCTTAGAATAAAACGAAAAAAATTCTTGGTGGCAAAAGAGAGTTCGTTTGTGTCTCTCTCTGTCTCCATAGAAAAACAGAGGTGACAAGGTTTCAAAACCAAAAGAAACCTTCAGTTACCTCGCTTCCTTGATTCTTTACTATTCAAAATGAGTAATCAATTTATTTTTTCTTGGTATCTGAATCTATGTTTAGTAATGATGATATAATTGGAAGACATAATTGTTTTTACACTTGAGAAGTTAGGGAAAGTGTTGTAATTATTTCTACCAAGAGTTGATCTAAGATATCTTCGCTTATGATTCCTTCCAAAACTTCGAAATTTGAAGCTTTTCCGTAACCCCAATTCGAATGGTCAAGGTCAGATACAGTGAGTTTGCAAATCATGAGCCACATTTCTTGGTAGCTATGACCTCGGACTTTCGACTCTCTTGATCTACTGGTCAATGTCATGTAATCTTCTTGAATCGTTTCGTTATGCTTACTGGATTCGAGTTCTGAACATAATTGTCTTCTCGAAGTTTTCTCTGTTACAAGGAATCAAGAATGCTTTTAACTCAAGAGATGACATTTTAATATTGAATTTGAAGAATCACCAACCTGATGATGGAGTTACTCGAACACCAGCCAACCAGTCGTAGTCAAGAACCGAGACAGGGCTCGAATCATTGCAGCTTCTGCAGTCTTCTTCTTCCTTTGTTGATCTCACATCACAACTGACTGAATCTCCACCTCTAGACCAACAATCATTGCTCTTAATGCAATTCACCGTCTCGATGTTCTGTCTCAACTCAATTGCTCTCCTTTTTCTTCTGTTCTTACGTTTCTCCTTTCTAGGCTGATTCAATTCTCCAATCTCAAACCTATGGCGTCCTGGAGAAACGTTCATTGCATTGATGTTGTTCTCTTTACCCTCTATGTGTGTTTGATTCTCTCTGGTTTCTCGTCTCTTCTTACATTTTCTTTCTTCCGGCTGCTTCAATTCTCCAAAACCCTTCTTCTCAGTTTTATCCTTCTCGAAGCTGAGAATGAAGAACTTATCATCTTCAAGCTCAACATACTCAGGAAACTGGTACGAATCAAGAGTGGACTTAACTCTTCTATGCTTCCCCTGAACCGTATCATCGTCCCTCTTCATATAACCAGCAGAGTTCACTGAACGGCTCCTTGAGACGACTCTGGCTCTATCAGTAACTGGAATCGAGTCCAAACCCATGAGCCTCGCCACAGCTCCCGGCTCATCTCCTCTGACTCTGAGTGGTTCAGAGACGAAATCACGAGACTCGAAACAGGGTTCAGTGATTCGACCATATGGGCAGGTAGAAGAGGAGCCGGAACAGAGAAATCTATCAAGAATGAGAGAGATACAGCCGAAAGAGTGAGTCTTTGAGCCGAGTGGGAGCGAAGGAGACGAAGATGATGACTTCACCTTCATGGTCTAATGTGCCTATAGTGTCAGTGTATGTCGAAAGTAACGGAGAAGTAACGCAGAAGGAAAACAACTTTTCTCTTAACTTTTGTTTTTCCGGTTGAGCAACAAAGATAAAGTGTGAACAAACAAATTCGTAGCGGGATCTAGGATTTGAACTAAAACTATCTCAGTCAAAGAAAAAAAACAAAAAAACAAAAAACGTAAATCAAAACAGCTTTTTTGTTGTTGTTGTGTTTCACCTTTTAGCGTGAACAAACAACAGTAAAGATGATGTGCACTGCACGCGCTTTTGACAAGTCAATTCCCGGAGATAACTTCATGTCGTCCGGTGCCGCTTTTGTGTAACATACCTCTGTCACTTATTGACTTGTCCAATCTAAATACTGAAGGCCCATACTGAAAGGCCCATATAAGCTGAGAAATTCTAATAAAAAGAGCCCAATTGTAGACTTCAAATGGCTGCCCATAAGAATGCTTCCTTGTCCGATTGGCGTAAGTTTCAATTTCCCACCCCAAACGGGGGTGTAAATGTACTAAAATATAAATACGGGGTAGTTTAGAAAATATAAGGCGTCAAGTCAACAATGAGTTAGGAAAGCATTATTCTAGCATCCAAACAAGACAGATGCTCTCTCTCGTTCTTCTTCGATTCGCTTGACACAACTTCTTCTCTCCCTCTCTCTCTCTCTCTCGACTCTGTTAAATAGGAGATCAAAATATCAGCCATGGACAGAGCACAGTTGATCTTGTTAGGTCTACCTATATTCTTATTTTGTTCGGATCTCTTCAATCTCTTCACTCCTCCGCCTCCTAAACCTCAGTCTCACCATCCTCATCAGCCACCGCATATACCTCACCAGCATCGTCCTGCTTCCATCATCCCCGAAACCCTTGATTTCCCTTCACAGGTGAAGTTTTCTTTTATATTTTCGTGTATTTCAACTTCTTCTCCTTCCGCTTATGTTCTCTCAGTTTATCTCCCTTTTAAACGAATCTGTCTTTTGTAGAAGACAAGTGGCTTAGGTGCAATTGGATATGGACATACTGTAGAGATCAACTTCTGTGTCTCCTGTTCTTTCAAGTAATTCCAATTTCTTACTTTGAATATACCTTAGATTTGCCATTTCGATTTTATTGGTTTGTCCTGGTTCAACGTTCCTCCTTGTAATTTAGCTTCGGGTTTCTTGTATTTCACTGTGATTAGAGAACCTCTTAACGTGGTTTTTAAGTAAAGGTTCCCGTGGTGAGGGAAAACTACTTAGATAATTTGGACACTGCTCGAGTCATTGCTCAATAGTCAGATACATGAACATCTTAGTTTATCTTTTGATAAGTTTCAGCGTCTTCAAAGAAGTAATTCGTTGCCTCTAGGCAGTTTACGGATTGATTCATAAACCTATTAGAGGTTTTGCAACCCCGCAAACCTGTCCCAAACTGTAACTACATCATTATTACTTATGTCTAAACTGATTCTATTTTTTTTTTTTTCTACACTTGTTCGTGGTGTAATGTTTACGCGTTTATATATGAAATTGGAGTTTCCATGGATTGATTATTGATCAAAGCTACATCGTTTGCAGTTCTTGAGGGTTTCTTTTTTTTTTCCTTTTGGGGATTCACAATAGCTGCGATGTGAAAATATAATGTTTAGATTAGAGATATGTGGGGATTAGGGATATGTGGGCAGGTAAACTTTTTAACTTTCTTAAACACACATCATTGGGGATGATTCTTAGATGTAATAAAATATGGAAAAAAACCAGATTTGTTTCTAAGATATGACTTCTTTGAAAACTCTTTTGATTGTTAGACTTATTATACCTTGTAACATTTTGTAACATACAAATTCTTGATCATGTTGTATGTTAAAAGCTGATTATACCTTTTGAACTGCTCGGCAAAAGGAATAAGTAACTCTAGCTTTTAACAACAGGGTGACTGGTGTTCTGTATGTTTCGGACGTGTGCTCATTCCAATTTTTTAAATTGCAGGGGAACTGCAGTCACCATGAAGAAGATGTTAGAGACGGCTTTTCCTGGTTTAGATGTGATTCTCGCAAATTACCCACCACCAGCACCAAAGCGCCTTCTTGCTAAAATTGTGCCGGTTGCTCAAATGGGAGTTATTGGTATGATTGTTGCAGGTGATCGTATCTTTCCCATGATTGGAATTGCGCAGCCACCTGCCTGGTTCCATTCCTTGAGGGCCAATAGATTTGGATCCATGGCTTCCACTTGGCTTATCGGAAACTTTCTGCAGTCTTACCTTCAAAGCTCAGGCGCCTTTGAAGTTATCTGCAACGGGGAACTCGTTAGTATTATTAACAGTTCAAGATGATTTTTAGATATGTTATTTATGGTTCAAGATGATTTTCAGATATGTTAAGGTCAATCAGTCAACAGTAATATGTACGAACTGGTGCTTCTTTTTCAGGTGTTCTCTAAATTGAAAGAAGGCAGATTCCCAGGAGAGATCGAGCTGAGAGATCTCATCAGTAAAACTTTAACAAGACCGAGCATCATCTACTGAAGTAGTATCAGAAGACAGAGCAGGTGGAACCTTCCGTGAAGTTCTACAAGTATTTTGACACGAGATGGTGTTTCAATCTCATGTGCCTAAAAGTGTCTTTATGTTTAAATTTAAAGCTTTTGGTCTGCTGGTTTAGTGGCTTACCTTTTTGGTTTAACTAGAGTTCACTCTTTGATTCAAACATGTTGCATACACACACTTTGGAAAATAAGGCTGATACCAAATCACAGCCATTTTCAAGGGAAAAAATGGAGAAATGGCCGATAAAAAAAGACTAAGAGAAATGCTTATAAAAAATATACAGATTAGAGATATTAATAGATACGGAGGTTACAGAAACTAATAATAATTTTATATCAGACAATCTGAAGATGCAGACAAGACGAGTTCTGTTCTTCTGACTGAGATAAGTAAAAGTCAGCCTCTACCAGCAACACGCTGGCCGGTATTAGCCGGAGGAACACCGGGATTGTGTTTAGGATTTGCAGACGGATCACCATAATCCTCGACGTTCACCATCAACGACCTTCTTTCGAATCCATTATTCTCATCAAACCCTAGAAAACCAAACGAAATCAATCAAGATATAAGAGAATCAGAGTGAAACGAAAGCAGAAGAAGAAGAATAAGAGGTATAATACTACGAACCTGAAACGGAGACAGAGCTACGGGCTAAAGATGTAATAGTAAGTGTCAATAAGAGACATACAACAAGACGAACTACAAAACTCATATTATCCCTATCTTTTTTTCTCTCTCTCTCTGTCTTGATAATTCTTTTCTTTAGAAAGAATCTTAAAAAATAATGCTTCAGTTACAGAATCGTGTACGTCGTATATTGTATTTATAAAAGGAAACGTGTTTAGTTGTGTTTATCCAAACTGATTTTTACTTCTCAAAGAATCACAATGAATATATATACGTTTAACCTTATATAAGTGAGCGGAGATGGAAAAAAGGTCAGCGAAGAAGACCATGCAGATGACGACACGTGTCAAGATGAAGGCGGGAGTGGGAGATGACGTGTGCAAAGCGTGGTGCCACGTATGTCACATCAGCGCCAAGCAAGTGGAATTGTGGATGTACAAGATAGGGACTGTCACTGTTTCGTCTGTGGTTTTTGTCAACGCTTCATTACCAATTTTTTCTCCCACTCCCCTCCCAAGTCCCAACCCTTTTTTGTTGACTTCTTTCTGGCTTTGCTTATTTCTTTATGGGTTCTTTATTTTTCTTTTGGTAAAAATTCTTTATGGGTTCTTCTTCTCATGATACTTCGGTATGCATTTCTTGTGGATCCTATTGGGCTAATTGGAGATCCATATTGGATCCGTCTAATGCTTTATACAAACTGATAATGGTATGTTACTATCGAATAGGATGATTCTGTTTTATTGGTGCAATTACGAATAAGTTCTTTTATTTAAAATCAAAACACATTTTGATTAATTTAGAAAAAGTATTGGAATTTTACGAGTGATGGACCGACAAGTAAAGATTAAATGGTATACATACCCATTTTGCATGCAACTTGGTCTCTTCGAATCTGTATGCCTTATTAGTGTTACAGATATATAAATCCGTGACGACTCAAGTGAGACCATGTCTTCAATTCATTAAGGAATATTATATTATAAGGAAAACTGTTGCTAATATACAGATTTACATACTATACCTTATATATAATATTCCAGCTCTTCATACTTAAATTGACTTATCAACTATCATCAAACACTTCATTTTTTTAAGAAAAAATATAAAATAGATAGAGATCTAATAAAGAGATAGCTTACGGCGGAGAGATGAGCATCAATGAGTCATATCCACCGGCTTTCCGGCGTGTTATCAGCGGCGGAGACCCTCTAGCAACGGCGGAGGTCGAACCTGCAGTTCTTGTCCGGGACGAGGATATCAAAATCCCGGTTATAGATTTGGAGCGTTTGGACAAGGAGATACTGAGAGAGGCATGCAAGGAGTGGGGAATATTCCGTCTAGAGAATCACGGAGTACCGTTGGCGTTAACGTCACGGCTTCAAGAAATCTCGGGCTCGTTGCTGAGTCTGCCGTTTGAGAACAAACGGGAATTGTTCGCCGCCGTTAACTCTCCGTTAACGTATTTTTGGGGAACACCAGCTCTGAATCCTTCGGGGGATGCGCTGAAGAGAGGAGCTCAAGCTTCAAATGTACACATGCTCGAAGGTTTCAACGTTCCTCTCTCCAAGCTTCCAACTTTTAGTACTTCTTGTGATGATGGTGATGCTCACGAGCCAAAGCTCGAGTCTTTCAGGTAACACACGTCGTCGTTTTTGTTTTCCTTAATCGTTAATAATTAATTCCGCAATTAATCAATCAACGTTAAAGTACTCAATAATTAAAATATAGGTGTAGCTAGCTAATGTGCATGTGGACTATAGTATAAGACAAAATATTTATTTGTTCTTATACGGCAATAACAAAAGATAATAAATGAATTGTTCATTCTATTTTGTGCATAGTTTCTATTTCAAAGATCATACATTTTTGTAGTATGTGTAGATCGAGATGCATACGATTTAGATGGCCTAGTCGTCAACGCTCCAATGTCACCACTCCTACCATGCATGTCCACCTAGGATCCGATGCTAGCTAGACATTTTTTTATAAATAAAACAGTGACTAAAGGAAAAAAACTGTAGAGTTGAGGAGAAAGGCAGTATTGACACGTGCATGGTGTTTTGATTGACGAGATGTTTACTTTTCATCGTTTAATACGTTTAAATATAGTGCTGGTTTTATTAGACGTTTTGGGAAATCCTTCCACTAGACCAAAGTTTGTGGTCACTAAAACTCACTATATCCTTACTAATTTGTTCCATTTATAAACTCAAATAAATTGTGGCAGCATCTCTTTTTTTGGAATATATAGTATGCCGGCTGCACATCATGTCGACCTCAGCTTGTTCACACATGCATGCATGTACTCTTCGCATAATGGATCAACTTGTCTAATATCTAATCTCTATTGCAGAGTGTTGATAGAGGAATACGGAAGGCACATAACTAGGATTGCTGTGTCTTTGTTCGAAGCGATAGCACAAACGCTGAGCCTACAATTATCCGGTAACCGGAGATCAGAATACTTATCGGAGTCGACAGGGCTAATACGGGTTTACCGGTATCCCGGGAGCTCCGATGGAGCAGCCGGGGAAGCTCTAGGGATGGAAGTCCACACGGATAGTTCGGTTATCTCGATATTAAAAGAAGATGAGACTGGCGGGCTTGAGGTCATGAAAGGTGAAGATTGGTTCTGTGTAAAGCCTGTTGCTAATACTCTCATCGTCAATCTTGGAGATATGATGCAGGTAATTACAGTGTATTCATATGAGTTTGGTTCAGTTGTTTTATCATTTGATTTTATGTAATATACGAAACTAAATATATACAGGCGATAAGCGATGATGAGTACAAGAGTGTGACGCATAGAGTGAAAAAGAAGAACATGGAGACGGAGAGACACTCAGTGTGTTATTTTGTGTTCCCAAAGAGAGATTATGTGATAAAGTCATCTAACTATAAGCCGTTCACTTACTCTGAGTTTGAAGCTCAAGTTCAGGCTGATGTTCAGTCTAGTGGAACTAAAATCGGCCTTCCTAGATTCAGACCAAATTCTCCATTGTTTCTGTCATCGTGTCGCGAAATTTAGTATGGTTTAACAAAGCTCTAATAATAAGTATTTAAGTCAGAAAAAGTTTGTAACGCTGTCTCATCGTGTTGGGCAAATTGGAAGTAGCTAGACCATTCATTTTTTTTTTGCAAATTTAAATTTGTTCCTTAGTTTTAATTTGGATCATAATGATCATTTTTTTCTACAATTTTTATGATTTTAGTAATACAGGAATATTGATAATACAAATTGCATGTTCATGTACCTAATCAGGTTTTGCATAAAATTCTACCAAACCAAATGCAAAAGCATAATCAAAGATTACGTATTTTGCCAACATAAGGGAACATAACAAAGGTGCAGCACTGACCCAATCACCAGGCCACATATATTCCCCAATTTTGTTTATAAGTTTATAAAATATTACTGTTAATGTCCATCCATATATATGACATTTTGACCCAATAGAAGTCCATCTATTTAGACTCAAACAAAGAAACCTATATCGTTTTAGGTTGAAAGGCCCCATATCTTTAATTATGACTTTATCTATTTCCGTCTTCGAGCATCAAATAATTTATGGCTGACCGGGTCCTGATGATTTCAGAACTTGATAATAAATATAGATGTTGTGGATAGCAATTTACCTTCTAAGAGATCGGTAGAGAGCAAATTTAATCTACAACATCATCTATCTATATATTGTTTGTTAATTTGAACTACAATGACGACGATCCATCTACTACTTTACTATGGTGATAGTGATATTTCAACAAACGGTATTTTAATATTGTTTTATGGCATAAAGCAATTTTACTTTAGTGATAATTGCCATTAATTATGAAGCAGTTTTGCTTTAGTATCATAGTGTGAATTGCCATAATGAAATTTGTGCGTTAGTGACTTAGTGTGTAATGCCATAATTGATCAATTGGCATTAGTGGTTAAAGTGGACCATAACAAGAGCTTAAACAATATTTTACATTTTTCATCAACTGTTTGAACAAATCACATTTTGTATAATTTTGCTGATATTATCGTGTGGCTTCTTAGTACGATCACTAACAAATGGAGTAATGTGTACCGTACCGACACCTTAACATTTCACACCAAAAAAACGTGTATACCGACAATAGTTTATTATTGACACGATCGAGTGATAAATGAACATCATCCACGAAGCAACTAACGAGGCTCCAAGACAAACCGCATAAGCAGTCTCACGTGCTTGTAGACCTCCCCGGCACGATCATGGAGCCACACGGCACGAATACCTGGCCTGACCTCTGACAACGGAAGACATATCTGGCCAGCGAAATCGTTCTGAGTGTTACTGTCGTAGTCTTTGACTGTTATGCATAGAAGCGCTAACTCAGGAACACGCAATGGGAATTCGAACTCCTTGTCCCAAATTGGAAACCATTCATCTGTATCTACTTCTGTTCGGTAACTTGCTGTGTCCAAAGGAACCCCTGCGATGCCGACCTGAAAGACAAACAACTCAAATGTGTGAGTCATGTCCGTTGACGTAACACGCAAGAATCCTATCGAACCATACATGTTTTTTTTATTCCAGGCTTCCAGCATATGTATGGGTACTTGCCTTTGCGTAGAAATCCGGAGGAGAGTATCGATCAAAGTGATCTAGAGGAAAATCCATATTCCATCCTTCTCCAGTGTAGATCTTCACCTACTCATACAAAAAACGTTAAGATGCTTTCATGCTCTTCAAAAAACGGAAACATAAACTTAGAAAATACAAAACAAATTAACCTTAAGAGTTGTCTTGATCGGCAGGTTTTGACAACAAGGGTCAAATATTTCACCTCCAGGACCACTGGTGAGCAACACATCAGGCTTTTTCACATAACCACATCCACCGTTGGCTTTAAACATTCCTTGCATCATCCACAAATGCCTCCCATGACTCTGCATTTACACACAGTACAAAACAGTTTATAGTTGGTGTTTACTATTGAAAGACTCTGTTTATAGTAGAGAGGATAACGTTGAAACTATTTACTTGCATATTGAAGGCAACCATTTGAGCACCATGAATCCATCCAACCATAGGATCATAGTTTGATGAGTCGAATCGAGTAGTCTTGGGAAATATCCTCAGAAGATTCCTCTGCGTGAACTTTACTAAATCAGATCCACGGGTTTTAGCCAGAGTCTCAAGCCACTGCTCGCTCATGCTTAGCCGTATGACTCGGTTAGGATCTCCGTTCAAGCAGTTCTTCATTCCTCCTTTGCGGTTCCCAGCGTGAATCGAGATTAAGTCTTTGTATTCGACAGCTACACTATCCTCATCTTCGTCTTGAACCTGTTCTTCTGCATCTGCAATTTTCTGTCACAACACAAAAAAAATCTTATAAAACATCAAGAAACGATAACGGTTACTTTAACTCTGTTTTTGCTTTCTTACTTTAGCTCTAACGGATTCATCAGTTGTTGAACCCTGAGAGACTTGAGTCTGAAGATACTCTTTAGGTGGCTTTGTTGAGATCAAAATCTTTTTCTTGAGTGATTCTGGTGAAGGGAAACACTCTGTATATTCGTCGGTACATTGAAACAAAGATTCTCCAAACGTCTTACTCACCATCTACAAAGATTTTCACCATCAGTCAAGCTCAGTTTTCCGAACAAGATTTGTGTGATTGATCAGAATCTTACCTTAGCGACTTTCTTCTGAAGATTTGGAGGCAAATGGTCCTCTAAGGTAAGCACAACAGGATAATCAGACACCTCAAACGCGTTCTCCTTAACAGCGTCAAGACATTTCTGCAGATCTTCACAACTCGTTAACGTCCTGAAATCATCAGCAAAGCAAATCAAGAAAATACCTTGAATGATGAAGTGATTCAAGAAGGGTTTATAGATGGTAAAGATTCAAACCCGCCGTGACGAACTTCAGCTTCTTTTCCAGAAGAGCTAGGCCATAAATCAAGCTCAATTACACGAACTCCTTTCTTCAGAGCTGCCACAATCGGAACGATGCTGCTATCACTGTTCAGCTGATTCCCAGTCAAGTAAGAGTTATGTCCCGTGTACAAGAAGTAATGCGACAAAGGCTGATTCATGTCTTGCCAAACCTGAAACCAAAAATTCATGAATCCCATAGTTAGGATATAACTCTCAAAGTAAAAAACAGATATTACTTATATCCAAAAATATTAGAAAAAACCTCGCGGGAGAGAGGCAATGGGGAGTTGAAATCACTGAGGAGATAGCGGTAGAAGGCTTCAAGATGAAGTCCACGAGGATGGAAAAGGCCGTGGTGTTTGAGCATGTGGAAAACATCCTTGACGTAGTTGATGTCAGCGTGTTTCTCTCCTTGAACTTGGATGACGAATCTGAGCATCTCATCCGCAGACATCCTGTCGTCTTGGGAGTACTCATGGAAAAGGTTCTTGATTTCTTCAGGTGGCTCACTTGATTTCACCTTGAAGCTTCGTATACAACAGAAGCACACTTTGAATGATTCCTTCATCTTCTTCTTCTTCCTCTTTTACAAGTTAAGCGAGAGAGAGAGAGATGATAAAAACAGAGAGGTTTGATGTTGTTCTCTTTTGTGAAACAAATTTATATATCTGAATGAACCATTATAATTAGAGAGAATCTATGAATTTTTCTTCAAGTACAAAAATAGTAAAAAATGGAAAATGGAAGTGATTTGTCGGCTGCCGAATTAAAGTTGGTATTAAAACACAAACAGAGCCGTTGACTGAGAGCAGAAAAACAGAACCGTTGACGAAAAGTGAATTAAAAAAAACGTGGCGAAGTGTACAGCCCAATTAGCTGAGAAACTGGTGGTACGCGTGTCACCGTAGAGTTTGTGATTAGCCAATCGTTTTTTTATCGTTGCGCGAAACAGCTCATATGTTGTTTTTTACTTTGTTTTGGCTCTCAATTATGTGTAATTGTCAACACAACAATATATTATTTGTCAATATTATTGAATTTTGTTGTCGATATTATTAAATGATGATGTGATTGTAGCTCACTGCTCATTTAAGTCCATGTGATTTCTATTCTCTTTTTTTTTTTCCTGAAAATATCTATTCTTTGTCTTGCATTTGTTTCTGTTTTATTCTCCATTATATTTTCAGTTGTCGAAGAATCTATTGCTTTTGTTGTTTGTTGTTGTTCTACATGATTATCTAAAATTCCGCCGAACTTTCATGTAAAAGACATCAACAAAAGTCACAAAACATCATCCATGTTTCTTGTTTCGGCCAATTTAAGCATGGAAACATATCAGAAAAAAAGGAAGCGTGTATATTGTATAGTGTACGATAGTTGTATAGTGTACGATAGTTGTATTCCGTTTTTTTTAATACTATACTAACATGAATATGCCCATTTAGGCCCAATCCCTTAACTTAACAAGGTATGCAAAATGTAATTTACAAAGGCCCATTAGTAAAAAGGCCCAGATATATATATATATATATATATATATATATATATATAAAGTGTTATCTTTCGTTTTCGTTAGATTCAAAGTGTTGTTGTTGTCTAGGTTGTCTAAGAAGCGTAATCAAAGCCTCAGCTTTTAGCTTAGCACGACTCGAGCTACTACTCTGCGATAAAGCCACGAGCGGAGGAACGGCACCTTCACGAGCCACCATGGTTCGATAGACAACACTCTCTTCACAAAGCTTCAACAGTATCGATGTAGCCATCTCCTTCTGTCTCTGCGTTCCCGCTTCAACAATCTCGACTAGCACCGGGACACCTCCTTCCTCCACCACCGCCGGCTTCGATTCCGGCTCCGACATTAACAGATTCATCACAAACGCGGATTTATCAACCATCTCCGATTCAAAATCTGCCATCAACTCAACCAAGGGCTTCATAATCCCAGATTCCACAGCTCTGAGTTTGTTCTCCTTGGTTGAACACAGAGAGTACAACGCCGTAGACGCGTCTTTCTTCGCTCTGAATCCTCCGTTCTCTAGGAGGTTCACGAGCAGAGGAATCGCTCCAGATCTTCCGATGGCGGTTTTGTTATCCTCCGATTGAGATAACCGGAGAAGAGCACAAGCAGCGTTCTCTTTAGTCGTCGGTGTTCCTAATCTCAAAGCCTTAACGAGCGAGTTAATAGCACCGGAAGAAACAATCATATCTTTGTTCTCATCGCAGAGCGAGAGGTTCAAAACCGCAGTGACTCCGTACTCTTGAAGCTGAGGATCCGAAGAAGATATCAGAGAAATCAACGGTTTAATCGCACCGGCTTTACCGAGTTTGATACGGTTCTCTGGTTTGTCCTTTGATAAGATTCTAATCTCCATAGCAGCTTGCTTCTGCTCCTCGATCGAAGAGGATGATGACTCGAGATGCGTTACGAGGTATCTGATCAAATCGTCGGAGTTGTCAATGGCGCAAGAGAGGAAGAGTCCTCTTCGGCTCTCGGGTGACATCGTTTGAAACTCGCCGGATCTGTCGCTCTTACAGTCGCTAAAAACAGAGGAATCTTCGTTGAGACTTGAATTGATGAAGTTACTATGGTCCAAGTATGTGAAACTGTTGTAATTCTCCATTTGCTATGAGATTTTTTCAGGTATTTTTGATACTCACTGCATTAAGACATGGGCTCTGGGTTAGTTATTTAAGTGTCCTGGGATGCAGTTGCAGAGAAAGTGAGAAACCTCGATAAATTATGATTTGATTAATTTGTAATTACATTCCCCACCAATACCATCATCAAGTTTCAGTGTTATTCTAGAAGTCATATAAACAAATCTGTTGTCAAAAGAGACTAAGTCAACCAAACAGCGTAAATTTTTCAATTTGTCCGTGTTTCCATATGCAGAACATAAAGAAAGTTTCAGCCTTTTTATCTTCAGCTTTCAATCCGATTTGGTGTCTGAAAGGGAAATACTAATTAAAAATACAATTTTTTTGGTTTATAGATCCACTACCAAAGTCGTTCAGTAGGTGGTATGATACACATTGATGGGGGTGCGCATACTAATGAGAATGTTTAAGTACTGTACGGCTATTGGGTTGCTGACTTGCTGTGACATCCATTTGTTTGATCATTGATTTTGTATAGTCTCTAAACTACAAAAGTACAAACTCTCTGGATGATGATAATGAATAAAGAAGAAGAAGCTCTGTATTTAAACGAATTGAAACCGCATGAGAAGTGCAACTGCAACTAGTCTCTCGCCTTTGCGATCATACAATGGAACAGAACGTATGCCCTGTCTCAGCTCTGTTACAGGCAAACATGTCTGGCCTGAGAAATCGTCCTTCTCTGGCATGTTGTAGTCGTGTACTTCAATTCTGAGCAACGCGAGCTCGGGTGCTGTTAGATGAAACTCAAACTCCTCGTTCCAGAAAGGCTCCCAAGTGTTGTCTTCTTTCTTTGTTTTCTTCATTACCTTATCAGCTCTTACTCCTGTTATCCCCACCTGGTTTCTCACGATAGTGCAATTTACATGAAACACAGATAAATACAGAGCCACAGTACAGAATCAAATAATTTCAAGTAAGTTGCTTACCCTTGTGTAGAAGTTAGGAGAAGACCAAGTGTTGAAACACGTTCTTTGGAAACCAGAGTCCCATCCTTTTCCCATGTATATTTTCACTTTCAGAGTTGTTTTTACGGGTAATTTCGCTTTCGGGTCAAACACTTCTCCACCGAGGCCATTGTTCATCATAAAATCCGGTTTTTTCACGTACCCGCATCCACCATTCCCTCTAAACATACCATGCATCATCCAGAGAGCTCTTCCATAGCCCTGAAATATTAAGAGACCCAAGATGTATCAGTGTGCTGAGATTTAAGAGGTCAGATGGTTAAAAAGGCCAGAAAAACTGCAAACCTGCATGTTGAAAGCAACCATTTGAGCTCCGTACATCCAACCGTTGTAAGGCCTGTAGTTGGAGGAATTTACTCTTGTGGCCTTTGGATATATCCTCAGCAGATTCTTCTGTGTGAATCTAGATTATGATTGTAGTGAGCTTAGAGAAAGAACAAAATAACTAGCTCAAAAGCAATTGCCCTTTTAAAGGCATGTTATACTTACTTCAGGACTTCGGTTCCATACATTTCAGTGGCTTTCTTGAACTTCTGCTCCCTCAAACTAAGCCGTCTAAATCCACCATTATCATTAGTAAGTGAATCCTTCAATCCATTTTTAGCATTTCCAGAAGGAATGGCTATCAGGCGACTGTAGGTGACAAAATCCAAGTTGCTGGATTCTTGATCAGATCCATCCTTTTCATTTTTGGTCTCGCTTGTTTCTTCCTCGGTCTACACAAGTCATTGCATGTAAAGAGAGATATCTAAGATGACACAGAGAAACTAAAACTCCTAAATTTGAAATGCAGAAGTACCTTCTCATCATCTACTTTGTCTGTTGAAACATCTGATGACGCCTTTCCTGATACATCTGACTCAGAATCCTTCTCCTTTTTTAAGTTCCCTTTAGGAGGCTTTGTAGAGATCACAACTCTATACTTGAGATCTTCTGGTGAAGGGAAATCTTTTAAACCGCTAGACTCAGGAAAATACAGCATATCCATGAATGTCTCTTTCATCATCTGCAGCAATATATAAAAGGAAAGAAAAAACTTTGTCAAAATCTTCAAGAACTTCTGAAACTAACACGGCAATGATTCCTCAGTAAGATCTAGAACGCACCTCAGCTGCTTTGGCTTGAAGATCTGGGGTCAAATGATCTTCCAAAGTTAAGATCACAGGGTATGGAGATGCAGAAAAGGCATGATCTTTAATAGATCTCAAGCATTTGATCAGATCCACTGGAGGTGTCCATGCCCTAGAAGCAGTAAACATACTCTTTTGTTTTCTTCGACAAAATTTCAACCTATAGATCTTGGAATATACATCATAACACAAAGACATACCAGCCGTGGAGAACAAGTATGTCGTCTTTAGTAGAGTTAGGCCACAGGTCAAGTTCAAGAGCTCGAACTCCTCTCTTTAAAGCCTTAATGAGAGGTACATCACTGCATTCGCTGTTAATCTGATTTCCAGTCAGATACGAATTATGGCTTGTGTAAATGAAATAGTGGGACAAGGGAGAGTCCATGTCTTGATGCACCTGAATCAACAAAAGCTCAAAGATTGAAACTTTCCATTTCGCGAAAGAAAGACCTCAATCGTCAGGAAAGAAAATACCTTACTGTCAATTGGATGATTCATATCATCTGAGAACAAGAAACTGAAGAAATCATCAAGGTTCAGAGTATGCCTCAAAAACTTAGTGATATGATGTCTAGCACAAGTGATTCTTTCTATGATCTTCTCTGCATCTGAAAGCGACACTTCAGTCTCGTCTTGCGCCTCAACCAAGAACCGACATAGCTGCTCTGCCGTCAGGTGGTTCCTGCCCTCGGTATACTCTACAAACGTTGTCACTACATCCGGAGGTGGAGCTCCTCTGTTTATCCTGAGCTTGTCATTGCAACACAAACCCATTTTGTATCTCCCCATATCTTTCTTCATCCCAGGTCTTTGTATCCCCAAATCGAAATCTCAGCTCGAGAAAAGGCCACAAAATACTTCACAATCACACCAGCCAGTCTCTATATATATATTTTCAGCTCCTGGAATCTCTTCAAAAAGTTCCTGCAATTTAGTTAAATAACAACTCCTGCATATTTGACATGATCTTCATAGTCATAAATCAACTACAAATCGTTCTTTTTCCTTCCATACTATTTTATAATTATAGTGGTATGCCTCTTTTTGGTCAGTGCTCTTAGCTTTCCTCTTCCTTTTCCATATATTCCCAGCCCAGAGACTCATGTTGAAAAACCTCGCTTTCCAAAAACCAGCTTAAACAATTATTATGGTATCTAATTCCAGAAGCATATGATGTAGCTTAAAGAAGGTTCAAGGATTCAACGACGGGGTTCTTAATACTTTTCATTTTCTTTCTTTCTTTTCACATTTCACGGTATGCAAACTCTTTCAAGTCACTGTTAAAACGCTCATAAAGTCTTTGAAGAATCTCAAAACATTTGTAAGTTACCAATCTCTCCAAAGATGAAATCGAATCAAGAATCTGTCTTTCTTCACTAATAAGCATACATGGGTGGTGTGGTCTTTGTTTATGGATTAAGAATATATACCTTTGGATTGTTAAATATAAAGCAACTCTAAAAAAAGTGATTAATTAACAAAAAGAGATTTATATATCAACAAAAGATTCCAGAATATATACTCTACCTCAGAATTTCACGTGTTTAATGCAGCAAACAGAGAGACAAAGGCTTAAATAACTAAAAGTTAAGCTAAAGATATGAAGCTTCTTGATATAAGTCCTCATGCATATAAATAACTACTTTAAGCTATCCAATACGAAATAATACAGATAAAGAATTAAGAGATTAAGTGTTTAGATAAAATGAGAGATGCTTAATGTTATTCTAACTTTATACGAAGTTCTTTGTTTTCTGTTCTTAACTTCTTATTGAACACAACTTCATGTCAGACCAAGAAACTGTTAACATAAATAAAATAAACCATAAAGGACAGGAATTTCAGAAGATCTATATATTTCTCATGTAAAGATCAATATTTATTCCTCAATGAAGATGCATAAGACACATAAACACACAACATATCAAATAAAGGTAAGAAGATATAAATCTAGATGGATACACGCACCAAAGATGGCGTCTCAGACAAACTCGAAGCGCATAAGAAGCCGTGTGGAGCTGTATTTCACTCCCTTTCGATTAAAGAGTGGAACAGCGCGTATGCCTTGCCTCAACTCGGACACTGGTAAACAAGTTTGACCTCCAAAATCATCTTTTTCATTTGCGTCGTGCTCATGGACTTCAACACGGAGGAGAGCAAGTTCAGGAACTGCTAACGGGAATGTGAACTCCTTATTCCAAATGGGTGTCCATGTATCATACTCTATTTTTGTTTTCTCCATCACCTCATCAACAGGTGCTCCAGCAATACCCACCTGAATTGGCCGAGTTAAATGTCCGTTTCAATCAAGATGAAGGAAAATGGAAAAATCAAGATTGGCGTTCACATACCCTAACGAAGAAATCTGGAGGAGAATAAAGATCGAAGTGAGTTTTTTTGAAGTCTAGGAGCCATCCATCTCCCATAAAGACTTTCACCTGAGATTGTTAGATGATAAGCAAGAAAGTGTGGAAGGCATAAATGAAGGAAGCAACGGATGTTCAACTCTATTGCCTCACCTTTAAAGTTTTTTTTGGAGACAAATTATCTTTGGGATAATAACCTTTTCCATTAGGACCTACATTCATAAGAAAATCTGGCTTTTTGACATAACCGCACCCTCCATTTGCTCGAAACATTCCTTCCATAAGCCACAGTGCTCTGCCATACCCCTACATTTATGTTCTCAATTATCATCAAGCTTCATCACAGTAAAACGTGGATGACGTAGAGGAGTGAGGATTTGAGACAAACCTGCATGTTGAATGCAATCATTTGAGCTCCGCTCATCCAACCGATCTGAGGTTTATAGTTTGAAGAGTTAAACCTTGTGCCTTTCGGATATATCCTCAGAAAGTTCTTCTGAGTGAATCTGCTCAATTGTGAGGATTCTAAAATATTAACTTGAAATACAAGAAGCAAACACTAGCCATATATTGCTTATTTAGCATGTGATATTTATATACCTGATAACATCTGCACCATACGCCGCTACAGCTTTCTCCAGTAATTGCTCACTTAGACTAAGTCGCCTGATTTTATTTGGATCCACCTTTAAAGCCATTCGTAAGCCACCTTTTGGCTTCCCTGCATGGATGGCAATAAGACGCTTGTATTCTGGTGCTAGTAATTGGCATGAAATATCAGACTCACAAGAGCCCCTTTCTTCATCATCTTGATTGAGATCATTTATACTGCTTGTAACCTAAAAGTAATCAAAAGCAGTATGAATTGGAGAAAATGAACATTGACAATCAAAACAAGACACTTGATGCTAAGAGTATTTGCATCAATTAGTATATAGTTGAAGCACACCTTCTCAAGATCGGATTGCGTAGAAATAAGATCTTCTGGCTCTTTGCCCCATACATCCTCATCTGACTCCTTCCCTTTCTCACCAGTATCTTTATCCTTGGCATCGTTAGCTTCTAAGTACTCTTTTGGAGGTTTTGTTGATATTAGAATCTTTCCCTTCAACTCTTCTGGTGAAGGAAATTCTTGACAACTTTCAGAATCATGGTAATACAACATATCACCAAATGTCTGAGTTATCATCTGCGGAAGCACAAAGAATATGCGGCGTTCATATATGCATGAATGGAATCATGAACTTTATGGTCTAAAGACTATATAGGTTGAAAAGAAAAAGAACCTTGGCAACTTTAAATTGAAGTTTTGGCGTGAGATGGTCTTCTAGAGTAATAATAACAGGATACTTTGAAGTAGCAAAGGCATTAACTTTAATTGATTCCAAACATTTTCCCAGTTTCACCTCCTTCGTCAAGGTCCTGTAGTGTGATAAAAGTGAGAAACAAAACAATAACAGTCCAAGGAACCAACCCACAAAAAGCAAGACCCAAAGTGAATATACCTTCCATGCTTAACACAGACATCATCGGTACCACGTGGCCAAAGATCTAACTCAACCACTCTCACGCCTCGTCTTAATGCATCTGCAATGGGAAGGTCACTGCAGTTGCTACTGAGCTGATTTCCAGTTAAGTAAGAATTGTGGCCTGTGAATATAAAGTAATGTGACAGAGGAGCATCCATGTTATGATGGACCTGAAAAAGAATATACCCAATAATGGTTAAACCAACCACATCCTCAACTTATCAGTGAAGAATTGATATTGCTATGCTGATTCCTGAATCTTATAGCTAGAGAGCTAAAAGATATGCAGAAGTAAGCAACTTGAAATATTCCAAAATGGAAACTTCTAAATTTAGACAGGTGAATCAAACAGTCGGATTCTTGTAATTCAGCAGCAGCAGAGTACATATACACCACGAATATAGAAAATTTACCCCCTTAAATGACTCATAAGCACTAAGAAGCTATCAAAAGAGGAACTTGCTAAATAAATGATCATCATGCTATTTTACGCCAGAAAATCCAGAAATTGGCAAAATAGAATTAAAAGAGTCAAATAGCTATGGTCTATGGGGAGGAAAAAACCCCAAAAAAACAATGTTGAAAGATTTTTCCGGTAAAATCAACAGCACAAGTCATAAACTTTCATTGTCAAACTTTATCAAGAAAACAATAACGATCAATCCCAGATTCCGAAAAAAAATCCATACTTTTTTCTCCCATTTTCCCAGGAAATGAAAAAAAAAAAAGAGAGTTTGACCAGAAAATATTAAAAGTGGAAACCTGATGGGCGATGGGAGGATTAAGATCAGTGGAAAAAAGGAAATAATTGAAATCCTCAAGAGTAAGGTTTCGTCTGGTGAACTTTGCAATGTGGTGTCTCCGGCGAAGCACCTCGTCAACGATCCTCTCCGCTTCCTCGAGAGTGGATCCTCCTCCTCCTTCCTCCGCCATGAGCTTCTGTAGCTGCTCCGGGGACATATGAGCTTCCCCCTCCGCGTATTTATCGAAAACAGCTCTGACGTCGTCAACAGGACCAGGCTCCGTCATCCTGAACTTCCTGGTGAAGACCAGACAGAATTTGTAACTGCCCATCTCTCTTTTTCCCTCCATCTATGATTCTATGTCGTCGTCCTGTTCAGATCCAAGAATGTGAAAAGGTGATACCCTTTTTTTCCTCTGAATCTACTTAAATACTTCTCAGATCATTTTCCTGAATTTAATGTTTTTTTTTTAATCTCGTAAACATTTCAGGAAGAAACCTCGTCAAACCTCTACACGCTCACACCTGAACACAAAAAACAAAAACAAAAACTTTTCTCTTGAGAATCTCTCGGTTTTTGAGATATTGTAATAAATTTATAAACCCAGAGAAAAAAATGGACTAATTTAAAGGGATGGAGTAAAAATAGTAGTTTACTGAAGATATATACGCCAGGTGTTAATTGTTACAAAGAAAAAAAAAATGGACCATCATTGTGTTACAAGTGTGAACACACACACACATTTGAATAACAATATTCACATATGTTGAAATAGCAAAGCAACAAAAACAAAGTAATGAAAAAGGACTAAGCTTCAATGGTGGGGCAGATGCAGATCTAACGCATTAGTTGTGCTTTTGTTTTGTCTTTGTTTTACTAGTCTCAACACAACACGTATGCATAGTTCCATATTTGAAATAAGTCCGAGACTATTGGTTCATAACTTCATACACAATTACTTATCATCTACAAAATATTGAAAAGTAAAAGGTTTTGAAGTTTGATGCATGATGACCTATTCTAGATCCACTGCACGATTACACTCTCGAGAGTTTCGTACATAAAGTTGATGATTACTTAAACAAAATAAAGATGTGGGATTGTCGGTATAGAACTGATGAGTACCAGGCCAAACCGTATAGTTAGTTTTTGAAAGGATCTTTCAAAGGTTTGGGTAAAGATCTTTCAAAGCTTTGGGTAAATGATGTTTACACGTAATACACACGGCCAAGGTAAATAAATATCATTTTTGAACCAAAAAAAAAAAACACACATTTCAGATGTCGGCCAAGAAAACAAAAAAAAACAAAAATAGAGTACGTAGTTAGATAATTAGATATGTTGAAATAGCAAGGCGACAAAAGGAAGAAAAAAAAAGAAAGTGTAAAGGGATTATAATGGTGGTGGTGGTGTAGATAGATAGAAAGATGCAGGTCTATTGTCTTTCCAAATCCTCTTTTAGTTTGGCCAAACGTTCTGAAATTTTTGTATCTCTCTTTTTGTTATACTAACTAAAGTAAAAGAGACATATGATAATGATATTTAGTCGTTACAAAACTAATCTTGTTTATTAAAAGTGTGATCTACCAAAAGAAAAGCAAGTATATTGGAAGATTTGGACTGGCAAAGTTGACAATATTTTAATTAGAATCGATATTCTTAATGTGATTAGAAACGTGCTTAATTGAAATGATACTGACATTATTAAATGTTTATTATAACGACGACTTATAAAAAAATTTCCTACCCGAAAGAATAATGTATTAGCTGGAACATCATATGTAAATCAATGTGACATGCTTATTTTACTGGTGTTTGTTTAGTCTTTTTTGACTTAGATTTACAAAAAGAGTTATGCGTGATAAATAATGTATTATGATTCGATCCAGCCTTAACTGTCTCTTCCCATTAGAGTAATTCACCATGTCTGAATAGTTTTTCTGTTTTCTGTTTTCTTATCAGTTTGTTTGTATAAGGACGATCAAGTCTTTCACGTTGATAGATTAATGGGCTTTAACCAACCTACTCTCGTTATCCTAGCCCATTACGCTTCTATAAGAATCCGGGGCCCAAGTATAATTATATACCGATACGCCACGTGGCATGGTTTAATTGGATATTCGACGTGGTTTTGGTGTACAGAAATTAAAGGTGGGAAAAAGAAAAAAAAAAAGGGAGTCACGCGAGAAAAAAAAACACTTTGTACGGTGCGAGATGGCGAGCTCAGTGACGCTGCTTCTATGGAGTCTTCTTCTTCTCGGTACCATAAGCTCTATTGAGGTACATTTTCTTTGTGTCTCCTTGTCACTATTTTATGGGTTGCAGCAAATACTTTCGATTGAGTTCTAGATTTTGCGCGATCTATATAGATTTTAATATCAAACCGAGTGAGATTTTGTCTAAGGTCTTCATGTTGATTATTTTGATTCGGTATGTTTGATTAATATGAGACCTTTCTGAGATTCGAATCAGCATCTCATACTCGTACGATCAGGGAACGAACCTTGCTTTTTACTCTCATCGCGAATTGTAGTGTGTTTGAGATGTGAATCCGAAGGAGGTTTGGCAAATGGTTGAATCACGGACGCAAGAGAATCAGGAAAGTGGATCAACCATAGATAGTTATTCTGAAGTTTTGAATTTGGTCCTTGAGATATGATTAGAGATTCAACATCATCAAATTGGTATATATGGAGAATAGCTAGTTCTGCGCGGAGTCCGCCTAATGTGTGTATATTTTGACCACTTGCTTGTGTTTATATTGATCTCTGGATGTCTTTCTTCCATGTGTTTCAGGCTAAAAAGTCCAAGGAAAACTTGAAGGAGATCACACACAAGGTTTTTTTCGATGTTGAAATTGATGGGAAAGCAGCTGGTATGACCTTGTTCCTGAGTTCATTTTTATGATGCCGTCTTGGTGCAATTAGTTCTTGCGCTATATCTCCCCTGAAAACATCTCAAACCAATTGATGTTTTTTTTTCCAGGTCGTATTGTCATGGGTCTATTTGGCAAGACAGTCCCCAAAACTGTTGAGAACTTCCGAGCTCTATGCACGGGTAAGATTACAACATATTGCTCATTCTCGATCATCATAACATGGCCCAGCAGTTTATCAACCTTGATATGAATACTTAACTTTAAATGTTTACTCACAGGGGAGAAAGGAATAGGTAAGAAAGGAAAGGCTCTCCATTACAAGGGGAGTTCATTCCATAGGATCATACCAAGCTTTATGCTTCAAGGAGGTGACTTTACACATGGAAATGGAATGGGAGGAGAATCTATCTATGGTGAGACCTTTGCTGATGAGAACTTCAAACTAAAGCATACTGGTCCAGGTGAGGGTTTTTTTCAGTATTCTGTGTTTATGTTGTTATCGACTCTTTCCCTGTGTGAGTTTTTACCCTGATTAATTGCTTTCTTTTTTCACAGGGTTCCTATCAATGGCAAACGCTGGCCAAGACACCAACGGATCACAATTTTTCATCACCACTGTAACAACCAGCTGGTGAGTACAGAATCAGCCGATTTTTGAACACATAAAGCTACCTTCTTGATCTTTCAGTTCTTTTACTTTCAAGTTGTTTGACTATGAGTGGGCATGTTGGTACTTAAGCTTAGAGCTTCAATTTCGGGATAGAATTCTCGACATGTGGCTTCTGTCTTCTGATCAGAAAGTTTTGGGACTTCATACAGGTTGGACGGGAGGCATGTAGTGTTTGGGAAGGTAGTGACGGGAATGGATGTGGTCTACAAAGTTGAAGCCGAAGGAAATCAGAGTGGAACTCCCAAGAGTAAAGTTGTGATTGTGGACAGTGGTGAGCTTCCTCTGTAACTCATCCGTCTGATTCTTCATTGATGGGTATGCTTTAGTGCTTGAATACTTTTGTGTCAAAAACAACTGTCTTTAGTCACTTATGAATGATTCTACAGCTATGGCCGTTTAGCGGGTCCGTTAACAAGTCCCTAATAAGATCACATAATAGTTTACGAAAAATATACATTTATGTCTATGTCTATGTCTATGTCAGACAAAGTGTTTTCATAACTTAGATAACGTGAAATCTTGAAAGGGGAAATAAGAAAGCGAAGATTTGCTCAACATTGACTTAACAGACATCAGATATAGACAAAAATACATGTAAAGATCTAATGCTAAAGCCTGACTTCAGATTTAGTTTTCACTTATTCAGAGTCGCTCTCTGTGTCTAAGAAACTGAACTCTCTACTACATCCGTCAAGCTTGATCAGCAATGTCCCTCTGTTCTCTTCACAATACCCAACTCCTTCTCTTTCTAGCAGCTTTACCACCTGATCATCCATAAATAACCATATACAATGACTGCCATACTAAATTCTTGTTTCAATGACTCAATCGACCAGGTTTCCATATCATTTCCGTGTATTGGTTCTAGAGTTTAAATGAAAAAAGGGTGTTTAAGAAACTTACCGATTGTTTCACCTTAGATTTCCCAAACCCAGAAGACCCACACCCTGTGATCACTCGTAGTGTCTGTATGGCTGGATGTTTACACAATTGTCAGGAGGAAGGAACTAACTCGGGTTTCGTAAAGACACGACAAGGGGATGATGATCTACTAAAGAAGAAAAGAGTTATAATTGAGATTGTTGAGAGCTTACAAGGGACATATGATCCAAATAAGAGATGTAGCTTCAGTAGTTTCATTGCTTGTTTAACATGCTGACCATGCAAATCAATGGTTACCACATTCTCTATACCTTTGTTTCTGCATAGTCGTAAAAAATGGCTAATTAGTCCACAACAAAAAGTGAAAGTGTATCAGCATGCTTCTATAATGGCTCAAAACAGCTAACCTTGCAACGAATATATCTTGGCTTGCCCTCTCATCAGCCCGTTGAGCTAATTTAGATGCCACTCTCCCCTATAAAAAATAAAGACACAAGTTTCCGTCATACTTCCAAAAAAATGCCACAATAGCATATATGATATTTTAGACCGTGAGATGCACCTTATCAGAAAGGTAAGCTGCATGAGCCCTCCCTCCTTTCGAATATGCTTCGGCAGCCTTCAACCAAGTGGTAAATGCATTAGTTGAGGAGTATAACAGAGCCAGATATATGGAAGCAAGTAAAACTTACTTTTTGATAGTAGGACTTTGTAACATTCCACTGTTCAGTTGCACCTTTTCTAAGTTCATGATATCCGTCATCTTTCACTGCAACACATGATTAATTGGCTGGTAATGCAATTCATTAGAAAGAAACATTTATGTAAGAGTTGCAACACAAACAAGTAGTCGAGACCTCAGATGTTTTTGCCAATGACACCATAGCAAAAATCATCAAGTAAAACAACATACATCAGAAGCTTGGAGCCTGCAAACTCATGGCAAAATGAGCCTGCTATTTCCAGCCATATAAACAAATACTATAATCAATAAACCATAGTAGTATACCAAACATATTAGGCCGAGCCTCTTCCCCACTAGATGAAGACGCATCGATGCCAAGTGACTGCATTTTCTTTGCCACATTCCTCCAACTCATTGTCTTTGGTTCTTGTTTAGGACTCTGGCGGATGTTGAACAGAGACTCCAATACTTTTTGAGGAAGACCAAGCTCATCACTTCCTTGGCTAGTTGAAAAAGGATCTTCGGTGAGAACTCTTGCGTAATCCCTACCATAAGAAAAGAAAACAGGCCAAAAGTTTAGTTTTGACCTCTTCCACAAAGTTGAATTAAAGCAATTCTATCGTAAGTTTTGACTTTCTCATGAGTATATTAAATAACATGCGCTCATGAACTGAATACTCCACTGTCAAATGCTTCGTTTTTTGTTCTTTCATAGAAGATGATAAGGAACTGATTAAAGAATGAACAAAAAAAAAGTCGCAAAGGGATAGGTATCTTGTAAGTGGCGGATCTAGGGGAAAAATCGTCTAGGGCTCTAAAGCCATAAAAAGGAAATTACTAATGATTTAAAAAGGAAAAACATATTGCAGAAAAGGGGCAGAAAAATATTGCAATTCCAAAAAATCTTGCAAAAAATATCCGCCACTTTGGGAACCAACTTGCGTGATTTCAAAACTACGTAGTGGATATCAATTACCAGAAGAAGGCCTAAGATCAAATGAAAGTACCTTTGAAAATAGTCCGTACCCCAGAAAAGTTCACTTTCAGAAGTATCAGTATCAAAAGATGTCTCTCCCAGCTGTTAAACAATGTCAGGAGATTGCACTCTATTCTATTGTGTAGGGAAACAAAATAAACAAATAAACAAATCTGTGAAGAAAACCAAAAAACCAATCACTTACACTATCGCTGACTCCTATCCCGAAACATTTACCACTCAATGAATCATCAGTTGACGAAGAAGACATGTCAAGCAAGACATTCAAAGCCTAAGAAGAAAACAAAATTAAGCTTTAAAATAAATGGTCGGGCAAGTATCAGCATATAGCAGGGCCTACCCTGTCAATATACCAAATACTTCCCATGTAAGTTTGGAGACAATCTGCTTACCATGTCGACATCATAGCCGCATTGACCTGCAAAAGAAATACTTCCATGTCAATTTGTCGAACAAACAAGTCTCTCCTCATAACAGTTTGACAGCTATTTCCTTAATCAAAATAGTGAATATCGTGGCAAATTCCGTAAAGTAGGAAGCTACTGCGAAGTAATACGTAATCTATAACTACTGAAGATCATAAAGTTTCACTAATATCTTATACGAGAGAGAAATTATCTGACAAAGAAGAAGAAACACTCACACAGAACATCTCTAACAACAGCCATGCTAAGCTCACAATCATCACCAAGCATTGAATTTAGAAACTGTTCAGCTTTCTCTCTATCCGCAGCTTTTTTCCCGTTCCCACAGAGCTCTTTAGACCGTTCCAGCATAGGAAACTCTTTTCCCACAGGGTTTGGTTTCAAGTAATCCTTGGCAATCACAGAAGAAACCATCCCTGTAGCAGCAATAACTCTACTCTGCTTGTTTCCCTTGAAACATCTATCTCTCGTCAGATCTTCGCTACAGGTAGAACTTGACCCAGCCCCATACTCAGAGGTCGACGCGGTCTCCTGACCCGAAGAACCACTCGATGGATCATCACTGCTTTCCGCTAGATCCGACAAAATCTCGGCCGCTTTGTTCAGATCTCCACCTGCTTCCTTATAAGCAGCCATCGCTTCCTCCATTGAAACCGAGCAAAAGGCTTCCATTAACGATTCGATTTTTATTTTTTCAACTTTCTCTATTTCTTTTGTACCTTCACCGTCCTTCCTCTCTTCCTCCACATCTTTTTTGTTCCCGTCAGACGCCGGTGCTCCATCACCGGAAGGTTTCGCGGCGCAGGATCGCTTCTTCTTCCTCTTCTGCTGGTTCTTCTGTTGGCTCTTATGCTTCATTTTAAAAAGGTTTGTAGATCAAACCAAGTCAACGTCGTACAAATATTCCGATCTGCCGAACAAACTGTGAAACCCCTGATTTTCCGACGGGAAGCGTCGGAGAGAGGGAAAGAGAAGTTTTAAAACCGTAAATCAGGATTCTGACTTCTGAGAGAAATCGAAATATCCACAGCCCACAGGAAGTTTTGTTCCTCCAGATTGATTGGGAATCGGAATAGCCACGTCATTCCACGCGCCTAACCTTGACCACGTTTGAATCCACGCGCCTCATCTTGACCACATTTTGATTCCACGCTCGTGTTTTACGCCCACGAAGCAAACACCGACCGGTTCCCTCCTCCTTCTACATATTGAACCGGGTTCTTTTCCACGTTTCCATCGTGAAACCAGCGTAAATTAGATTTCAATGTTTTTCTTTGATTTAACTTCGGCTCACCATGAATTTTTTTTCCTTCATTTAAGTTTGATATATAAGAAGATACATAAATGATTTTTCCTATTAAATCATCTCATCCAAACTCTTTCCTTCAAATTTGACATAGTTCATTTCAAATCTGAAACGCAAGTTGCTTGCTAAAGAAAACTTGTGCTATGACGACCACAAAGAGCGTTTAAAGACGCTGGTCATCACGTTTTATACACTAAATAGATTTTCCAAAATTTATCAGCGTGTAGAAAGCTTACATATACATCTCATAACAGCTTTGTTAGTAGAGAAAGATAACTCAAGATTCGTCGTATTCACAGGCACCGATCATCATCCTTGTCACAAGAGAGACCATTGACCAATAACTCTGTTTGAACTGGGGAGTCGGCGCATGAAAACCGAGCTGGAGTTAGACGCGTATGGAACTCTTCGTGATCATTGTTATGGATATTTATACAGAGGTTACGCTGCTTCTTCCTTCTCTGCACCTCGTCCTTCACTCTCTGCATCACAAAGAAAGAAAACACATAGCGAATGAGTGAAAATGGTGAATGTAACCGATGATGATGAATCCTCATGCACACACAAACGCAAATATATATTCTAAATTTTAGACTGTTCTGTTGCACTCGCTAATCCCCCAATCTGACAATTTCTATCGAACACGGCCATTATTTAAACAGATAGAATTAAAGAGGCACAAAAACAAGCACTTGCTAACACATCAAGCGATCCATACTTTTGAATTATCTAGCGCATAGCCGGTAGAAGGCTTATGCTTAACCAGCACCTTTTCTAAATATACCCTATGTTTAAATGTGAATGCTGCTATGTTAACTCTGAACTACAACAAGCAAACTCTCTCTTTCAGCTTTTTTAAATTCACGGGATTAGGATGGTCTGCAAGATGCAACTGCAATTAAGAGAAACTAAAAACTAACAACGAATCTGTCCTGGTTCATACTACCTGACTTTGATGTATAATAACCTGTTTAGAGTATCACTTCTATTCACAAGAATAGACATGTCAAGTCTAACATACATCACTATCATCAACTCTAAGTTAGTCTCATTCTTATAGATCATATCTCGCAGCATGCAATTCAAGATGCTCAACAGGACCAAAACAAAACCAAACCTGAAGCATCATGAAATCGAATTTAGGCTGACCAATATGCTCAACAGTGATGGAACCAAAGAAGTTCCCTAACAATGCAGCATCAGGAACAGCCAAACCTTCTACAAGCCCAACCACTAAACCTCCGAGGAAACTGTCTCCGGCGCCGGTAGGATCCACCTGCTTCGCCAGGAACGGAGGAACCATCGTTTCATCATCCTTGTGATAAATCCTACAACCTTTTTCACCATTAGTCACCACAACACAACACAATTGCTTCATTTGTTCAACATCCATGAAAAGAGCTTCGTCTGATGAAGCTTTCAAGAATCCAATTCGATGCAGGATGTGAAAGAATCCACTTTCTTTCAAATCGACAAGCTTCACGGATCCATCAACAGGATCAAAAACCCTAATCAGAGCTTGAATATCAACAGCTACTACATCGCAGATCTCCACCATTTTCTCGAGCGTCTCCGGTAAAATCTCGCCGCCGACTCCAACAGCCATCCCAATATCGAATCTCGAATCGGGTATATCCGAAGGAAGAATCGGATCACATGCAGAGACCCGTTTCAACACCCGATCAGCGTGACCGATCCCCAGATCGAAATAAGCTTCGAAAACTGTGGTTTCCTTCTCCGGCACCACGATCGGAGAGTGAGTAACCTCGTATCTGAAGTCGTGTCCGACTTTGGAGACCAAATCGCAGGAGACAGATGAAGAATCTAAGACATTGGAGATAAAAGAGGCGGCGCCGCCTAGTGTTTCAGCTACGATTGATCCGTTCTGGATCAGAACGTCGTGACAATAATTCCCAACGATGAGAACGCGGCGATTCGGAATCCGACGCGGCGGCGAGTGAGGCGTTGTTTGGTGCGACGGAAGAGGATTCAGCGTCATGATGGCGGCTTGCGCAGAGGATCATCGAGAAGATGAAGCTTTTAAGTAGGTACCGAAAGAAGAAGAAGAAGAAGAAGAATCATGGAATAAACAAAGGCGAAGAACGAGAAGAATTGGTCTACGAGAACGGGAAGAGACAAAACTGATGGCTATAAGCTAATACGTAACGTCTTGAGATTCGTTCCCTCTGGTCTGTCTTATGATATGTGTCGCGAGAAAGATGACGCGCGCCTAATAAAGCTCTCTTTACTCTTGTTTATTTAAAATAATCGATAATTCAAATAATTATAGAATCACATCGGTCTCAATAATATAAGTAGAGAAAAATAATTCCAATTAATTTTGTCCAAATTCCTTATATTCCTCCACTTACCATATAAGCTGTCACATACCCAATACAATATTCGAAGTGGAGATGAGAATGCAATGCACGGCTCAGTGGAATTTAGCTGATATTCCGATTCTGTTGTCGGGAAGAAAAGGATAACTAAACAGACACGAAGAACGAATTATATGATTGCAATTACGAGTTATACAGAAGCGAGTCAGGTTGGTTATTTATGAGCCATGAGACATTTTGTTAAGTCGAAGTGACTTTCGAGTTTATAATGGATGGATACTGTAGAAACAAGAGTGGGACTACGCTTAGTCAGAACGAATACCCCCCATGAAGCTCCTCGGATCTGGACAATTTCCAGTGAACTGAGCTTGCGAAAAGTCGAATCCTGGGTTCTGCAAAAACCAACAGATACCGAAAATGTAAGAAGAAAATTGATTGAAAGAGAAAAGAGAAGCATACTTGAGCTCAATACAAAGTAAATAAAAGGTCATGCATACAAGCAGAGGACCAAAATAATAAGAGGGTAAAGCCGTTTAAGGCATACATTAATCAGACCCATGTGTTCAATCATGCCAAGTTACTTTGCTCAATGTAAACCCAAACCTTCGAATCCGGTTATAAGAATGAGCAATCTAATCACCTAACTTACACTGCTTAGACTATAGGTTAACTATCACCCGGCCGATGCAGACTGTTTATCCTTGAACATAAGAGATTCACTCCTTTCTTCTTGTTTTTTTTTAACAAATTATTAGCTACTTGAGAAAGGTACAACTAACAATAAACAAAATAAGAGAGCTTGAACAAAGGAAACAACCAATTTGATTAGACATGAGTCATCGAAATCAGATCAGCTGTGGCAAGGTAATCATATTTTAGTTTTGACATCGATTCATTCTATCCTGAAGATGATGCCCAAGATTTGCTTCGGAGATCAATTAGATGGTGAACACAGATAGAGAATTTTGCAAAAGTAGAGGAAACCATATGAAACCAAGAAGACTTTAGAAGTAGCTAACCTCTTCTTGAAACCTCTGTAGCATGAGCCGCTTCTGCTCAAGATCAGTGGCATAAGGATCCAACTGACCCTGTCCCAAAATCGGCGATGCCCATGTCTGCCCTTTCTCCCTCTTCTGCAAAGTAATGTGCATTATATCATCCTCTGCCAAACCAAACATAAAAGTTCAGATTATCAACCAGTAAAAAAAAAAAAAAAAAGCTATATCAGCAACTAACATATGTTGGTAATAAATAAAAAATGGATGGAGACTACATACTACTCTTGTCTACTCAAGATCCAAACACAATAGTTGTACAACAGTCCATCATCTATCCAATACTCTCAAATGTTTTATACATTTCAAACTGTATAAACTAAATATATATATCAAACTCATATCACATTTCAGGTTCAAATCATCCTCTCTAGCAATAGAACGGGTTAAGTTCATCTAAAATGAGCGCCTAACAAAGACACGGACGAAAAGAAAAAGGAAAATGTAGCTCACCTAGGGTCCAGAACGAGCAATCCGTCTTGACGGGGGCACTTAGATCATGCTGAAAAATTTACAAATTTTAACACAATCAATCATCGAATAGAAAGAGGAACGGATCCAAAAACATTGAAAAATTATACTCAAGAGGAAACTGACATTGAGATAAGGAGGGTTCCCTTTGATGCCAACTTCGATATGTTTGGACTCGATTTTGCAGTGGAAAGCCTTTGGAGGAACATTGGGTGGCAAAGTGATGTACATGTTCACTTCTTCTAAGCTTTGATCCCACTCAAACACCTTTTGCCCTGTTACATCGAGTTATCGAAGAAGACACATAAATCTATCAAATCTCCTAAAATGGAATCAGACTGTGATAACATAGATAAAGAGGCAGAGGAGCGAAAGTGAGAAACCGTTGTGAATGAAATCGTGCCGCTTCTCTGGTGCAAGCTTCTCCGCCATATCTATTTAGGGGTTTCTTTTTCCGTTGCCGGCGAAATCGATCACCGTAGGGCGATTTAAGAAGGAATTTTTTTATTATTGTAGTGGTGAAAGAAGGTTTCAATTCGTCACGACATAACAAAGTGGTATTTATGATTTAATCCTTCTTATTCGTGTAACTTCGTTTAAGCGATGATTTGTTTAGTGATTGATTATTAGACCCTTTCTCTCAAGCTCACTCCGTTTGTAACATTGAAACTGAAACTCCATGCCGTTTTTAAAGCTACATTGAATTGTTGTGTTTTTTTTTTTTTTTTTATCAAAGAATTGTTGTGTGTTTAAAAGATAAGAAGTGGGTCAATTCAAATATTCACTGGCATAGAAAACGGAGGAAGACAAGAATTAAAGAGTAATGTTTAGTGTAGGTCTACCACGAAACATGGTCCATTTTAAAGCTCTGGATAGAGGAGCCAAGTGTGTGATTTTTTAGCATTTCAATGTCTTTGGGGGAAGAGATACACTGTACCCATTTATCCCTTTCAGTTTCTCCAACGCAGACACGAAAATTATTGTCAACTTCAATTCAATTTTTCACAATATATAAAACCAGTTCAACAAAGGCTTTGCCTATAAAATAAAATAAAAACATAATAACCAAAATGATCTGATTACTACAATATGTACATGTTTATCAATCAAAAGTGTTTTATAGTATTGTAACTTGTAAGTTTTATGTTCTTTCATTTCGTCATTCCGAACATTCCATTGTTCTACAATATTACCAATCGAAACTAAATAATCATGTTCAGATTGTTTCATTGATGCAACTCGATATTATACATGTTTGACAACGGCGTAAGTCCAATGGATGGCAGTTAGATTCTGGAACAGGAGTTGAGTTTGGGTTATTATATCACGAGTGTTACTAGTTAGTTGTCGGTTAATATTCGGTTTTGACCGGTAAACCGACTGTTAGCGTAGTGACCCACTTGAAGAGTATACTTAAAAAAAAAAAGCTTTGCCAGCAGCGTCCGATTAAGAAGTAAACAGAATGCCGAACACGACGATTCATTTTAAAACTATAAAAATCTGTGGCCTCCGTTAACACACATTCAATAGCCACAAATTAAATTTATAAACAAATAACAATGTTTGTCCCAAAAAAAAAACAAATAACAATGTATGTAAACACGAGTCGTGTTACACGACCCGTTTTACAGATGATTAATCCTTACAGCGATACAAAAATGTTTTCTTGGGTAAAGCTAGGTTTGTACCATATCAATATATCTGCTCTTGCAACACTATTGCTCAACCCACATGCATAGCCTAGTCATTTCGATATTAATAGTTGACAATAGTGTCATAGTTAAGGCTATACAACTTGGCTAAACAAACAAAACCAAATGAACTTAGACCATTTTTTTTATTTTTATTGGTAGAGCATGTTTATTGATAGCATGTTTATTGGTAGTATGTTAGCTTTTGTTCTTACGAACCTGGTGTTTCTATTGGGTCGACACTATATATGGTATATATATATAAGTGTTTTGATTTTGTCTAACTCGAGTAAAACAATTTGTACCAATATGAGCAAACTCTAGGCTAGACTAGACATGTCATAGTCGAAATCGGTAAGCGTGTGTAAGAATACTCAGAACAACAGTTTGGAGATTAAGAGAAAATTTGGTATATGTAAAAACTTCCATTTCTCATTCAAAACCGTGCATACTTATATATACTGCAAATCGCCTTGAAGCGGGAAGAGTAATCGTTATCTTTTTCCATACGTGCATGGATAAATTTGGTTTAACCTATGGTATCCCCATTATTTGATGTCTAAAAACAAACAAAAAAGTTGATAATATGGTAATATTGACATTGACGTCTACGGTGGAGCTGGAGCATATATTGTTAAATTTTTCGAAGGATTAACTACATTTTTCCCAATTCGCACCATGCATTATTTGGTTTGAATTTTGAATATATAATTTAGGAATACACACCAATTTTTAGTTTTATGCAATAGAACTTATGTCATCCACAAAAATAATGGGTGGATTTTTCTAGTTTTGAGAAGAAAAAGCAATGTATAACATGAAACTCTAAACACTGTTGACTTCTAAATATACTTTGTAGTATTAAAAAATGGTGCTTTGTTATGCTAAATCGTAGCTGTTTTCAAAGCAAGTTGCTTTGGATATTCTAATAACATAGCCTTTAAAACAGGTAAGCATCGAGTCTTTAAAACTCTCCTAAAACCCGTTGAATCAGTTCCACAACGTGTTCTCTTTCTCTTAACAAAATGGTTATATAAAGCTTCGATCGTAATCAAAGTCTCTTATAGTTCTCTATTAGTCACAACAATGGGGTCTGAAGACGGAATCTTGATGAGAAGAAACGAAGTAGCCGAGAACGTCGCCTTGATCTTTGGCGTCACCGGACTCGTTGGTCGAGAGATTGTAAAGAGGCTATTAACGTCTAAACCCAAATGGAGAATCTACGGCGTAGCGCGAAATCCGGAGATCAGTTCATCGACGACGATGTACAATTTCATCTCATGTGATCTGCTTAACGCATCTGAGACTAAACAGAGATTGTCTCCATTACAAGACATCGTGAGTCACGTGTTCTGGGTCACGTGGTCTGGTGAGTATCCATTGGATAGCGACGAGTGCTGCGCTCAGAACAAGACGATGCTTACAAACGCTTTGGACGCTATTCTACCAAACGCTACGAGGTTAAAGCATTTCTCGCTTCAGACGGGGATGAAGCATTACGTGTCTCTTGTCGGAGAAGGTTCGAGTAATTTCTGTTATTACAGCGAGGAGTGTCCGAGGAAGAGCTCTGGGAGAAATTTCTATTATGTTTTGGAGGATTTGCTGAAGGAGAAGATCACTGGTAACTCCGTTGTTTGGTCAGTTCAAAGGCCGGGTTTGCTGATGGGAAGCTCTACAAGGACTCTGTACAATTTCATGGGAAGCCTTTGTGCTTACGGTGCGATGTGTAAGTATTTAAATCTTCCTTTTGTGTTTGGAGGGACAAGAGCATGTTGGGAGGAGAGTTACATTGATGGTTCTGATTCCAACTTAGTCGCAGAACAGCATATATTCGCTGCAACAAGTGGGAGGGTACGAGAGAAAGGTGAAGCCTTTAACGCCATTAACGGTGTAGGTTTCACTTGGAAGGAGATTTGGCCAGATATTGGGAAGAAACTTGGAGTGCAAGTTAATGAAGCGACCATGTTTGATGAAGGTTTCTCGTTTGATAGAGAGATGGGTAAGAGAAAGCATGTGTGGAATGAGATTGTGACGAAGGAGAAACTTGTTCCGACAGAGATTGATGATTTGGCAAATTGGGTTTTCTTGGATATACTGTTTAGATTTCCGTCTAAGCTTCTTGGGAAGAGAGAGAAAGTAGATAAGTTTGGGTTTAAGAGGAGATATAGAACCCTAGATTCAATATTGTATTGGATTGATGTGATGAGAGATGATAAGCTCATTCCTCTTTAACACATGTGCTATTGTTGTGATGGCTATGTTTGATTAGCAATGTAAATTACACTATGTATTTGATCACCAATAATACTCACCTCCCCTAATATTTCTTTCATTGGGCAACATGTAATAGAACTAGTTTTTGAATAATGAGTTTTACACAAACTTTTTTGATCTTAGATCGTTAAACTAAAACCCATGTTTAGGTAGGTGAAATAGATTGTTCTAATGCTAATGCAATAATACCTTAGTCAAAATCAAAGCTGTGGATAACAAAAGTCACATCTAGATTTTAAAAGACGCGTCCAAGAGACTGTGATGCATTGACAAATGTAATAAGATGAAGTAGTGGCAGACCATACTTGAAACAACCAGATGATTGGCTGGAGTCAGTTTGTTGTTAATTGTATTTAGTTATATCTTTGATACATATGAGTTTTAGCTGTCAAGATGACATAAGGGTAAAGACTTTTCATCCCCTGTTTCCACTGATCCATGATCCATCACTCAGTGAGATTAAGAATCACTCCAACAACTATAAGAAAACAAAATAGAAGATTCGAGGTCAATCTATTATCATTCTTACTGCAAATTCATACGTTAGATACACCAAAAAGAAGTTCAAGAGAAAGCCACAAAAAAAGCCGATCATGCCCCTTAAAAAAACAGAAAAGCAAAATCGCCGGCCAAAGGCAAAAAAACAGGGCATGCTACTAAAACAGAGTATGTACAAGAGAACCTACCCAAAAGAAAACAGAGTACAAAGTTAGTTAGACATAAAAAGCCTCTTTCTCCATCTTAAGTTTTTGTCTTCCGAGTAGACTTGGTTGTTTTTGCTTGAGACTTGTTGAATTTAATGTTTTTGCCTTTAGAGCTAAATATGTCATCTTCATCGTCTTCATCATCGCTGCCACGCTTTTGCTTCTTTCCTTTCTTCTTACTGTCACTAGAACATATAATAATCTTCTTATCCTTCTTCTCCTCAACCATCTCTGTTTCCTCCTGTGGCCGCCAAATGAATAGGGACCTGCACATACCAGAGTTTGAAACCAAATCCACACCAATTAGATCAGTCAATAAAACATTTTTCACTAATAGCCATTCTCATTACTCGTAGGTAATGAACTCACGAACCTTGAACTTCCTGAGGCTAAAACATCATCACGTGGATGCAACTTGTTGACTGGAGTGATAGTTGTGATGTTTGGATCCATAACCTCTGCAACCAGTTGTCCATTGCTTGCGTCAATGAAATCAATAGGGTGAAGAGCAGTTCCATTGTAGTTTTCACTGATGTAACGACCAACCACAATGATTGACTCCGAGGTATCCTGCGGATCAGCATTTAGCAAATGTTATATAAAGGGAAATTGATGGAAAGAAAACGAGAGAGAGGGAGAGAGAGAGGTTGAAGTATCAAACCTTAGGATCCCATTCAGCTTTGAATGGCGTCAAATGCCGATTGAAATCATGGCTATGAACAATCTCTCGGCTTGGCATATCCAAGTTCCCAAAGATAGAGTCCCATATTCGAATACGGTTGTCCTGACAGGTCGTGAGGATTTTGGTGCCTGATGACGGAGAGAAATAAGCAGAGTTGACTACTCGTTTGTGTGCAAGATCATTAAGAGAAGCTTTAGGTTGTAGTTTACGCATATCCCATATTCGTGCCTGAAATCATAACCAAGTTAATCTATTGAACAAGTTCTGACAGAAATCAGATAATCATCTAAATGATTCCACGTGAAAGCACGTTTTTTGTTCTTTGATTGACTTACAAAATGATCGTTCCCACAACTGAGAAGAAGCTCAGGCTGGACAGGATTGCAGTCGAGGCCAACAACTTTGCTTCCTTGCTTGTGTATCAAAATTGGCTCACCCGTACTGTTATTTGTACGATGGTCGATCCTTTATCACGAAAAGATAAGTCTAACGCTCATTTAAACAATAACAAAGAGGCTAGTCTCATTTAAACAATAACAAAGAGGCTAGTCTGCAAATAGTTTAAGGGGATGAAATCACTTACATGTGAAGAAACCCAAAACTATCAGCAGCTAGCACAACACCTTTCTCTGAGTTAATATCCATACCGTACAGCATTTTCCAACTGTTCTGACCCTATAAACCGATGATATGCCATATCAGTATAATGGCTCATACAAGAAAGAAACAGAGAAAGGATGTGATGATGGTGTGGACCTGCCATCCATCGGGGTTGAGATTCAGCAACGTTGAGGAAATCCCAGTTTCCAGGTCAGTATAACCAATTGTTCCATCAGAGGATGCAGAATAAAACATGTCATCATTTGTGGGACTAAACCTGCAATACCGACAAGAGAAGGGAATTGATCCAACAAATCTTATTTCCAGATATAGAAACCTAAATGCAGAAGAAGAATCACAACAGATACAATGTGATCCTTACCGCATATTATTAACTTGAACAAAGTGTATGTTTCCATACACATTCTTCTCATACACTTTAGCAAAATCCCAGACTCCAATTTGCCCTTTCTATTAGAAAGTGAGCCATACCACCAGCAGAAACGAAAATAACAGTGAGAAAAGAGACGCAGAAAATTTGTAATATATGAATGTAGTTCAATTCTTAAACCTTATCTCCGGAGAGAAGAATGTTGTTCTTTGTTGGATGGAACTCCAAACATGTAACACGTCTGCTGTGGTACCGAATAACAGCACAATGAACTTGATCCGGGATCACATATTTTGGTTTGATCTGTATAGCACAAATAGTTGTATATACTCACCAGTCAATAAATCTCATTACGCATCAAATTACAGTAAAAAACTGTGAACAAAGAGACTTACAGGGGGAATTCTCGGTTGGAGTTGGCGCTTGAACACAAAGTCAATAGGATTCTTTGTATTCCTATGTGAAGTTGGGAGTATTCCATGGTCAGTAACCACTCTATGAGGACATGACATAGTAGTGTGGCCTTCAATTGATGCAGTAAAAAAAAAAACCAAAACCATTTGAGTAAATTAACATTTTTTTCCATTCTCCATCATCTAAAGCTCACATATAAAAAAGGATCGACAAGAAATTGCAGATTTTATTACCAGGCATTTTACATAAGAAGCAAGGTTTCATAGGACAATCGATATACGTTGCTCCTTTAAATCCAGCTTCATGCCCAGGCTGTTTACAAACCTATGAATCCACCATGAAACAACAACAGATATAAAAAAATTTAAAGCCAAACTCTAGAAAAATCCTCTGTCTTTGCATCAAAGTGAAGAACTTTAAGTAACAATGAAATAAATTTGAAACACTTTTGATTAAATCCACAAACACTTAAGGTCCTATATGCACTGGCTACTTCACTATAACTGAAATCAAAATCCAAATTCAAAGTCATAATCTTTGGTTCCGTAAAGCCTATCCAGATTATTAAAAAATTTCACACTTGAAGAAATCATAAGCCAAATACGAAAACTCAATACACTGAAAAATGAAAGCCGTTGAAATGACACATTAGAAAGCTAGGGTTTTTTAAAAGGGAGTTACTTTGCAAACTTTCTTAATAAGCTTAACGGTAATGGGTGCTTTCCCTTTGGCTTTATTCTTCTCCACTTCAAGTTTCCCTCCATTTTTAACCGCTTCATCTTCTTCCTCCTCCGACAAAGGGTAATTGTCTTCTTCTTCTTCTTCCTCTTCTGACGAACTTAACTCGGAATCTGTATCTCTGGCGATGATGATTTCTGGGTCTGTTTTCCTTCTGTTCCTCGTTATACCCATTTTGGTAAAAAAAAAAAAAAAAAATCACACGACCCGACAAAAAGGAAGAGAATACGAATCAAACTGTTTTGTTTCTTTTTGGGTTCGATGACGACGACACTGCGGGTGCGTGGGTCTGGGTACAAACTAAAGCCGGTTAGGTCTGTGCACGGTTCAATAGAATTTACGCTAACAAACCACTTAAACTCCCACTTAAATTTACCATTACACCCCTCAAGATCTATGCTTGTGAAATGTGATTTGTAAATTTCCGCTGATAGTGTAAGGTTAGTTTTGGTATTTAATTAAAGGGTCTGGTGGCGGGAGAAGTTAAGACGTGGCGAATTCTACATCCTGGAACCGGAAGCAAAACTCACGTGGCTCTCACGTGCAAGCAATTCCATCGTTAGGCCTTATTATTTAGATCACTGATGGGCTTCCGGCCTGAAAAATTATGGTAGGAACTTTTTAATTCATTATAAAATTGGAAAAAAAAATAGGAGACGTGGACGAATGTGACGAGTATAAACCACACAAAAAAAAAAAAAAAAAGCTTGAAATCTCGTTAACGATAAAATCTGTTTTGTGGCGCTCAATTTCGAAAACAACATACATGATCATCTTTTAAACGCAGACAAAAACACGACGTCGTTTTCAAACCGCCTTACCAGAACCATCTACGGAGTTAAATACAGTCTTCTCCGCTTTTAATACACTGCTTCTTCTACTCCTATCAAACCATACCACAAAACCTCGAGTGAATCAATTTTCTGATTATGTTATCTCTACGAGTCCCTACTCCTACGTCCTTCCATCTCCGGCGACTTCACCCCAGAGATATTGAACGGCGAGACTGCTTTATCTCTTACTCTCCCAGTTTCGTGAACAGAGGAGTCCGACTCGGAATCAGATCTTCTAGCTCAGGGGTTGCGTTTACGCCGGCGGAGGAAGAAGAAACTCTTCCGGAAGAGCTGCAGCCGGAGCTGATGCCGAAACACGTGGCGATTATAATGGACGGAAACGGAAGATGGGCTAAGAATCAAGGTCTTCAACCTTGGGATGGTCACAGAGCCGGCGTTGAAGCTTTGAAAGAGATCGTTGAGCTTAGCGGTAAATGGGGGATTCAAGTTCTTACAGTTTTCGCCTTCTCTACTGATAATTGGATTAGACCAAGGGTGAGTTAGATATATCCCAATTCTTGAATTTGCAAACTTCACACACAGCTCTAATTTTTTATGCGAATTGAGTTTATTTTCTTCTCTGCAGATCGAGATTGATTTCTTGTTTAGTTTATTCGAGAGATCGCTTAAAACAGAGTTTCAGAAGTTAGCCAAGTAAGTATTTTTTTTTTTTGTAATCAAGAATTGTTTGTGATTGGTCAATTGTTGTATCAAGAACTTAATCTTTTGAGTGTTTAGGAACAATGTTCGGATATCGATCATTGGAGATTCATCGAAACTTCCGAAATCTCTTCTAAGATTGATCAACGAAGTTGAGGAAGTTACTAAGCACAACACGAGGCTTCAGCTAATCGTAGCTGTTGGTTACAGTGGGAAATACGATGTTCTACAAGCCTGTAGAGGTATAGCGCAGAGAGTTAAAGACGGTGAGATTGATGTTGATGAGATAGATGAGAGACTTATCGAGCAAGAATTGGAGACTAATTGTACTGATTTTCCTTACCCGGATCTGCTGATAAGAACGAGCGGTGAGTTAAGAGTTAGTAACTTCTTGTTGTGGCAATTGGCTTATACAGAGCTCTTCTTCGCTCAAGAGCTATGGCCTGATTTTGGGAGGAGCGGTTATATCGAAGCCTTGATGTCGTTTCAGCAGAGACAACGACGCTTTGGTGGTCGAAAATCATGAGTATTTTTTTTTTTTTGTGTTTCTTGCCATTAACTAATAGGTGTCATGGGAACTGTATATGATGTAATAATGGATGTCTTTCTTTATGCCTCAAGGACACTACTTTCAGTAAGCCTTTGGGATATTACAGTTTCTTGTGTTGCAAGATATAGGTTTTAGTTATTCGTAGGCGAAGCAAGAACACGAAACCCGTGGCTGATTTTATTTGCAAATTTTAAATTTACCTACACAAAGTTATGAAAGTACAATGATCTCTGAAACTATAGCAAGTATTTTGGTTGAAATATCAGATGAACATAGTGGAACAGTGGACCAACTGTGGATCAAATTTGACAGCCAAATCGTCTTTCCCTGCGCTGAAATGAAGCCAAGGCCTCTACAAGCTTATCCTTATCAAAATCAGGCCAAAGGACTGGTGAGAAGAAGAGCTCGGTATAAGCGAGCTGCCACAAGAAGAAGTTACTAATCCTCTGTTCACCACTTGTCCTAATCAGTAGATCAGGACTTGAGAACTCAGTACAATCTGTCAGAAGCTCTCTCTCGATCAATGCCTCGTCTACATCTTCTTCTTGGATCAACCCTTTTTCTGATTTCTTCACAATGCTCTTACAAGCTCGCAAGATGTCTAATCTCCCGCTGTAATCTATTGCCAAGATCAGGTGTTTTTTCTTGTAGCTTTTCGTAGCTGCCTCTATCTCATGGATTGTTCGGCGTAGAGATTCAGGAATCTTCGTTAGATTCCCAATAACAGAAACTCGAGTTTCCTCTCTAATAACAACAAGATTTTGGTAATAAGTGGGCAGATCACATGTTAATAAAAAAAATAAAAAAAAGCTAAATGGAACAGTATTCAAACCGTTGGAAATATTGGATCTTGGACTTGAGGTAATGTTGGATCAAAGACATTAAGCACTTAACCTCAACCTTAATAATACCAAAAAAATTGTTAAGAGTCGGTAAGTGTATGAGAATGTAAGCTACTTAGTTTAAAAAATGTCACACCTTGTGTCTGCCCCAATTCTCTGTGGAGAAAGCAAAAGCTGAGACTGTATGAATCCCCAATTTGAAGCAGAGTTCGGAGAACTGTATAAGCCGTTTAGCTCCGGCCTCATGGCCTTGCGACGTCAGCAATCCGGCCCTTTTGGCCCATCTCCGGTTTCCGTCCATTATCACTGCCACATGTTTCGGCATCAGCTCTCTTTGTAGCTCCTCTTCTCTGACCACATAAGTTCCCTCGTCACTTACACAAACACAAAAAACCACAGCTAAGTTATGAAGGATTTTAGTATTGTCATCTTTTAACAAAACAGAGTACATATGGTATTTGTGAAATCTCTGTTTTCTATAAACTAAAGCCACTTTGTGAAAATCTTAAGCGCACATTGTGTATTTGACAAATTTGGAAACACTGCCAAGTATAATAATATAGAATTTATTATAACAAACTGAAATAAAATTTTGTAATGTTTTTTTAGTAACTTACTATAAATATTTAAGAAAGTAAGTAAAGTGTTCAAATTATTCATCACAAGTACCACCAGCTACTGTGTTGGTTAGTTGAGAAGCCAACAAAAATTGTGTATCAGTACAACAAAAATATATAAGTACCGTTTGTAGTTGTCATCATCGTCCTTCAAAGCTGTAAATTTTATGAATCCAAGGAGATTTAGCAAGGAAAGAGAGAAGCTACAACGGCTTGTGATGATGATGAAAAAAGAGATGAGAAACACAAAGAGGAGAGATAAAAGAGAGGAGAGAAGAGACAACATTGTTGAGCTTTCGCTTTACTTTATTGATTTTGGGTTTGCTGGACTAATCGAAGGGTTTCTCATATATCACATCCCATATATATAAAGATATTCAAAGACATTACCTTGATCGTTTAAACCTTCTATCAAAAGACAAGGCCATACAAAACTACTAACTAAACTCGTACGTGGAGAAACTTAATTAAAAACCATTTTTAAATGTTCAACCACTAAGTACTGTAGATCGCTATTATATCTTTGTATGTTACCAGACCCTTCCAAGAGTATTTGATGTAATCGACCAATAAGAATGAGAGGTGTTAAGCTTTTCATCAATTTTCAATTGGTTTGCTGATAAATAAAGAAGTTGTTAATCTAAGTCGGTAACACTCCACTCAAGTTTTTCTAGTGTTTTGTTGCTTAAATCGGTAGGTGTGTGATTAGATCATCAATGACACGTACAAATATTCTTCAAAACTATCATTTTCTATTATGTGTTAAAAATCTCACTTTTTTTTGTCATTTACATTAATTATAAACTTTATTATTGATCTAAAACTTTAAAACCTAAACCAAAAAGAAAATAAGTAGGTAAAAATTTGAAGTCTTGTGTTTAGTACTATTACGAGAAATCCTTTATTGTAAATATAAAGTAGGTAAAACATTGAAGTGTTATGTCATATGTGTTTAATCTTTTAGGATTCTTTGTCTTTTTCCGGCTTCACTAAATTGTGAATCATTTCTTGTGTCAGAAGACATCAATTTTAGTAAGATGATGATGATTACGTAGATACCCATAACATATGGTATTGCTCTTGAAATATCTAATTTTACTAGATCGGTTTCTGCAGCTAAATCATATATAGTTCGATGAACAAAAGTCGGATGACCATAAGAAAAAACGCAGAGAGAAACAAAACAGAACAGAGGAGACAGAACATAGGTAAAATGTGGATCAAAGCTGGCAGCCAAATCGTCTCTCCCTGCGCTGATACGAAACCAGGGCCTCAAAAAGCTTCTTCTTATCGAAGTCAGGCCAAAGCACAGGCTAAAAGAAAAGCTCGGTATAAGCGAGTTGCCACAAGAAGAAGTTACTAATCCTCTGTTCTCCACTTGTCCTAATCAAGAGATCAGGACTTGGGAACTCGGTACACTTTGTCTGAAGCTCTCTCTCAAACAACGTCTCGTCCACATCTTCCTCTCGGATCAAGCCTTGTTCTGATTTCTTCACAATGCTCTTACATGCATGCAAGATGTCAAATCTCCCACTGTAATCTATGGCCACGATGAAATGCTTCTTCTTGTAGCTCTTTGTAGCTTCCTCTGTCTCCATGATTGTTCCTAGGAGGGATTCTGGGATCTTTGCGAGATTCCCGATTACAGAAACTCGGATTTCCTCGCTGAAAGCAAACAAGATCCTTTGTAACAATAAGCATATGAAGAACTGATCTACTATGTTAACTAAGCTCCCTATATACCTTTGGAAATATTGGATCTTGGATTTGAGGTATTGTTGGAACATAGACATCAAGCAGTCAACTTCAATCTGTGTATGTAAGTTATTAGAGATAATAAAGTTGAAATATTTTAAAATTAACTAAAAGAAATTTGTCTGAATTGTCACACCTTTTCTCTTCCCCAATTCTCAGTGGAGAAAGCAAAATCTGAGACAGTATCTATCCCTAGTGTGAAGCAGAGCTCGACGAATTCCATAAGCCGTTTAGCTCCGGCCTCGTGACCTTGTGACGTCAGCAATCCGGCTTGTTTCGCCCATCTCCGGTTGCCATCCATTATCACTGCCACGTGTCTCGGCATTGGCTCTCTCCCAAGCCCTTTAGGTGTCTCCTCATCCCCGACCACATAAGTTTCCTCGTCACTATAAAACATAAAACAAAAGCCAAGTGATCATGAATATTTTAGCGGGTTCGAATTTAAGTAAAAAACAAAAAAAAACAAGATTTTAATTTGTTTACATCTTTTTATATGATAGATATTCTTTAGCAGGAAAATATGGTCGGAGACAAAGTAGTAGGAGAAGGGACAGAAGAGGCAGAAGGAACCACAGTAGAGACAACATTGTAGAGAGAGTGAAGAGTAGCAATTGTTTTTGCATGGATTATAGAATGTGTGAATATCATATTTATAACAAGTAAGTTTTCAATGACTAGCGCTGGTTGTTCCTCTCGCACTTTTGGAAACTATGCCATAAATTGAAGTTTGTTACTTTTGGATTAAACAAGCACGAGTTAAGCATTGATATTTTCATTTTGCCTTTCATAGGAGAAAAATAGAAATTTAATGTTCAATCAATGAACTTGTCAGTGTGGGTTATAAATTGTGTTATCTACCATTCAGACTATATATCTTGTGTCAATTGAGCTGGCCACTAAAATCTTGAGGAACCGTACCAATCGAGTCCAGCCTTATTGAAGTTTGTACAAATTATTATGAACCTGGGATTTAGGTCATATTCTGGTATGTTTACGTTAATGTAGTTTCCCATAAAATATTACTTAGAGATAACACTAGCAAAATAAATTCTCATTTAAAAGTTACAAACGCAAATAAGGTTTATTGAAAGTAAAGACAACATTTTTGAAACTAACACAAATATTTATGTCTCATGAAACAACAACGTATCATTACGTACTATTGTATCAGCTGAACAATTGACTATAGTCAGACCAGACATGAATGCAAAGTTTAAACTCGTCGACCAAATCGCCTCTGCCTTTGCTGATACCAAGTCAACGCGTCAAGATACTCAGCTTCACCAAAATCAGGCCACAGAACATTAGGAAAGTAAAGCTCAGTGTACGCTGATTGCCATAAGAAGAAGTTACTGATCCTTTGCTCTCCGCTTGTTCTAATCAGCAAGTCAGGGTTTGGGAACTCGCTACACTTTGTCATCAACTCTTTCTCCATTGCCTTCTCGTCGATGTCCTCCACTTGAATCAACCCGTCTTTCACTTTCATTGCAAGATTTTTGCATGCTTGTAAGATATCAAATCTTCCACTATAGTCTACAGCTATAATGAGATGTTTCCCTTCGTAGCTCTTTGTAGCTTCCTCTACCTCTTCTATTAACCCTAGAAGCGACTCCGAGATTTTCGAACGGTTCCCAATAACCGAGATCCTGATATTTTCTCTAAAACCAAATGGGAAAATTAGCATCAAGACAAAACTCCAAAGAGGATCACTAAAAGTCTAAAACAATAAATGTGTTGGAATGGATACCTTTGGAAGTAAGGCATTTCAGACTTAAAGTGTTTCTCAAACAAGGCCATCAAACAGTTAACTTCATCCTGATTAAAAAAAAACGAAAAAACCGAAAAGCTTAATGAAAAGACAGAGGCGATTTGGTCGATCGACCGGTGTTGGTAAAAAATATATGATCGGTGTTGGTAATTCAACTATTGTATTAGTAGACCGCCATATGTAAATATAAAAGTTCTCAGGGTCACAAATTTAAAGACCGGCGGTGAGAAGAAAAACAAATAATTAGCATGTTCTGTTTAGTTACTCATAAAAAGCAGAAAAAATCTTGAAACGTTTTGTGAAAATTATGTATGATTTCGGTAATCACCTCGGGTCTTTCCCAATTTTCAGTGGAGAAAGCAAAGAGTGAGATAGTATTTGTCCCCATAGCGAAACAATCCTTAGCATTCTCCATGAGCGTTCTCGCTCCGGCCTCGTGGCCTTCCGATGTCTTGAGTCCTCGTTTCTCTGCCCAACGTCTGTTTCCGTCCAATATAACCGCCACATGCTTTGGCATTCTATTCATCGCTCGTTTCTCTTTATCTCCCATTGCACCACTACGAATGGAGAACAAAAAAGAAGTTAGTTGGCTTTACAAAACATGCATAAATAAATACCTAGTAGAACAAACGTTAGAAATTTAGAATATATTTGAGATAAGATTCACAAAAATAAAATATAATTAAGGAGCGCAATACGTCGAAACTACATATATATATATATATATATATGATTAATAAAAGCAAAACTACCGTTTGCCGTTTCTCTCTTCCTCGTCATCGTATTTAGAAGCTGTGATTTTGAAGAATCTGATGATATTTTTCAAGGAGAAAGAAACGCTTAGTCGCCGAGAGATGAAGAGACCAGGGATGAGAAAAAGAGCAAGAAAAGTAAAAACAACAGAGAATAGAAACAACATTTTATTCGTATGTATGTTTTCAATGTTTGTTCATATTGGAACAGTACTCGTCTAAGTACTTAAAGAGCTTCGATCGGGTTCAAAGACGCATATGATCAATGGGAACCTTCTCTCTATCTATCTCTCACTCTCTCGCTCGCTGTCTCTCCTCGATGCTACGCAAAGACAGATCATACGTATTAAGGTTTAATAAGATCTTACGACACTTGAAAATCACTAAATCGTTTCGTCACGTGATTTTTCTCAGTAAATTAGGATATTTTTCTGTGATCAACCATTCAGATTTTGACATTGTTTTTTCGTTCAATATATATAACTTCATGAATGGTCTTAGCATTAATGTCGAAGGTTACAGTTTTGTTTGCATGCATCGTTTTATATATCTTGACGTGATGACGTCGTTAACAAATGATAATAATTAGTAAAAAAAAAAAAAGCAAGAGCTCTGTTTTTAATTAGCAGTAAGTAGTGTGCAATGTTTTAACTTTTAAGCAAGCACATGGGACACATACGGATCATGCGGTCCTTAGTTACTACTATATACTAGCTGGATCGAATTGCATTAGTGTGATCTTCGTTTCACTTTATATTCAACTTGTATACCAATGATCATTGTAAAGAGCCCATGCATTTATTATTTTATCGCATCACCCAAGTTAATTATTGCAAATTTACAATGCTGTAGGAACACAAAAGGAGATTGTTGTTGGCATAGACCTTATCCACTTCTTCTTTTTTATAGTACCTCTTTCTTTTCTTTTTTTGTACTCAGCCACTTTTTATCTATTTTTATTGATCAAAAATTTGTAAAACCTTTTTTTTTTCTTGACATGTGGGAGTCTTCAGTATGATATTTTCCATGCTAATTTGCATAATATTAACCAAATTAATTGAAATCTCATGCATCAATCATTATCCAATCTTTTTTACGTACGTGGCATCAATGTAACAAGGACATATTTGCAATTTTTGGAACTCCAAAGTCTATCACTTTATCTAGTTTGGTTGGAGACTCCTAATATATATCGATCTGATTACAGAAATCGACGTTACATTACATTTTTTTTATAGGCAAATAGAATCGATATCATCTTCCAACCAAGTTTTTTTCTCACATTTTAGGCCTATGGAAAACATTCAAACCTTGTAATTAGCACTAAGTTTTTTTATTGATCTAATCGTATAAGAACACGACATGTTAAAAAGAAGCTGAAATGCTGGATTATTAGGTGATACAACTTGTTAAATAACAACTTAAACAAGAGGTGAAATACTGGGTGACATAATAATAACACTATTTTAAAGTAAGGTAGTGTCAAAATTATTACCACCAGCCAAGTGGCAACCTCTTTTTTAATGGAAACCGACGAAAAAACCACGAGTACGGTCACACGTAGGAGATTAAAACCCCGCTCTTAAACTAAAGGACATAATCGTTATTTTACTCAAATTTTCGCGACTTTTCTTGAAAAAACAACTTCCAGAAAAATCGAACTTTGAGAATCGTCGTAACTGATAAGTGTGCTGCTGCTCATCAAGAAAAATCCAAACTTCACCAAGAAAAAAAGAGACCACTTTCTCCTCCTCTGTCTTCTTCGTTTAATGTAAATTCTGATCATCCGATTGGGCGGTGAAACAATCTTAAAGAACTCCTAAAAGAGAAAGCCTTTTTTTATTTATTTTTCTTTTCTTTAAACGAAACAAAAGAAGAAATTTTCCATTTTTGTTTCGTCGATGCTTTTTTGAATCAACGTCGTTTTTGGCTTTTCTTCATTCTCTCTGTTTCCTTTCATGGGAATAGTAATTCACCTGCCATGGCGAAATTGACTTTCAAGGATTCTCTTAAAGCTCTTGAAGCTGATATTCAACACGCTAATACTCTGTAATTTTTCTCTTTCTCCTCCATGTCTCCCCTCTTCAGTTTTATCGAATTTATCGGCTTTTACTATAAAGTCTTGATTTTTTATTTTTCTTGGTCTTCAGTTCCACAATCGGCTTCTTTTATTTTTTTTGTTGTTTCTTGATTTTTGTTTGGTTTGCATGTAACAGAACATAACTAAAGGTTCCTCCTTTGTTTTGTTTAAGATTGTGGAGCTTGATTCTCTTAGGTCCACTACTAGTTGAGATATAGTTCACTGTGTTAGGGATGTATCTAGACTTAACTGTTTTTTAGTACAAGGAGTAAATGTTTTCGGCCAGCTTAGCTACATAGATCATTGCGATTTCATGTTCTTCAGTTGTTGAGTTGAAGCTTAGCTAAATCAGTAATGATCTAAACACAGTTGTTAGTGCCTTGGCTTGGCTGCTAGTGTTGAAGCTACAACAGCTTATTGAACTCTTTGGAGTGTTTATGTGTGACTGATATCAATGTTAAAGCTGTCACAGTTTTTTGTCTTTTCTGGATACAATAGCAATTAGTCCCCAAACTATTACCTTTGCTGTTTGATAATTTTCATGCCTTGACCAGAAATTAATGTGTTTTATAGTTATATGCTTATCATCTTGATTTCATGTTTTAATTTCTGAAAATGAATAACAGAGCTTTAGATTGTCCTCGAGAGAAGGATGGAGCGCGTGTTCAGATGAGATTATCTTACAGCCCGGCTGCTCAATTTTTTCTTTTTCTTGTAAAATGGACTGATTGTCACCTTGCTGGTGCACTCGGTTTGCTTAGAGTCCTTATCTATATGGTACTTTTTTTTTCTTTCCCCATTTGTCTTACTACATTCAACATACTGTTCTTGGTGATAGTTTGATTAACTTCTTTGAGCTATATCTGGTTCAGACTTATGCCGATGGAAAGACCACAATGTCGGTTTATGAAAGAAAAGCCAGTATTAGAGAGTTCTACGGTATATATGTTTTGTTTGCTATGATATAAACTTTGGTAATGGAGGATATTGTTGATTTATTGAGAGAAGAAGAAAAGAGAGTAATTATACTCCAACAGATATATTAGTATATGCGCTCATGGATTTTTCACTGTTTTGGTGTTTCTCAGCTGTGATATTCCCGTCGTTGTTACAACTACAAAGAGGTATTACAGACCTAGAAGCCCGCAAACAGAAAGAAGTCTGCAATATGCGATACAGAAAGAAAGATGAGAGTGAAAAGTGTGAGCTCTCAAAGATTGATGTCGAGAGGGAAGAAGAATGTGGAATCTGTATGGAGATGAACAGCATGGTCGTGCTGCCCAACTGTACTCATTCTTTATGCATCAAGTGTTACCGCGATTGGTAAGTCACACTATAAGGAGCTTGTAACCAGTTGAATGTAACTGGTTTTCTGAAAAAGGGTCATGTTTTTTCTTAGGCGAGGGAGGTCACAGTCATGCCCTTTCTGCAGAGACAACATTAAAAGAGTAGACTCGGGTGATCTCTGGATGTTTTTGGACCAAACCGATACAGTAAATCTCACTGCGATCGTGAGAGAGAATCAGAAACGGTTGTTTGGTTACATTGAGAAGCTACCGCTCATGGTTCCAGATCAAGCGTATGCGTCTTCTCCTCATGATTGCCATGTGAGGTGAAGATGAAAAACCGGTTCTGGTTTGGGGGAAAAGGAGGTCTACTTTGTATATGTATTAGAGTTAGTACAACTAGTCTGTCTCTTTCTTTTATACCATTATATCTTGGGAAAGTTCCCACTTACAACGTGCTTTTTGTGCATTTGGCCGTGGTTTCCCACTTATTTTATATGCTTCAAAGCTCTTGTATTCTCTTCTTCAAGAAAAGGGTTACACTTAAAATTCATCCACATTGAGTTTTGTAAAATTGATACTTTCCCACTCAAAAAAGTTATCATAGCTGGTTTCGTTTTGAAGTTGTATACCAAATTTGGTGAATACTTAAAGGAGAGAAGAGGAAGTGGATGAGACAAAGGAGAAGAAGAGAGAGGCTCGTGGTGTTTGCAGAAATTTTCAGAGAAGGGAGTGTACTCGTGGAGAGTCTTGCAAATTTTCTCACGATGAAAACGTATATATAAAAAGCACAATCATCTCAGATACACTGTCACTTAAATCAGTCTGTTCTTCTTATTGATTCATTATATCTTAATATGTACAGAGAGTTGCTAATACCGGTTGGGGAGAGGAAGATCGTGGAAATTCCAGGTGATATTGAGTAAGAATCACTATGGCATAGAGGATATATAGGGATTGTTCATATTGATATTAAGTGGTAATGCTTTACATGATTGATAGTGTCTGAGTGTACAGCTAGAATCTATTGGAAATGAAATTTGTTGCCCATTTAGCTACACAGAGTTGCTTTGCTCTGTATCAATCTTATTTTCAGTTTTCTCCTTCACATTTACAGACTGAGTATATGAAAAGACACAGACGCTTTGGTTCTAGACAGTAGAACGTTTCTTGAGTTTTTTGGCTATTCCGGCAAAGTACTTGCCATGGTAATTCGCCTGCTGAATCTCCAGCTCAGTTGGCTCTCGTGACCCATCAGCTGCATAAGTCCCTGAGCCATACGGCGAACCACCTTTCACCTCTCCCATCTCGTACATGCCTTTACCAAATGTATACCCCAACGGTACAAATATCATCCCGTGATGAGCCAATTTTGTCACTGCCGTCAGTCTGCAGATCAAAATTCAATCAATGCTTGTCTATATTCTTTTAACTTTGCTATCTGTTAGGAATATGTACTTACGCAGTGAGTTCTTGGCCTCCACCGTGGAAACCCGTACTCCAGAAGATTCCAGCAGGTTTCCCTGCGAGAGCCTGTGTAGTCCAGAGATCATTTGTATTGTCAAAGAAAGTCATGACCTGTGATGCCATCACTCCAAACCTAGAAGGAAAGCCGAACATAAATCCATCAGCTTCCGCTAGTTGTTCTGGTCGAATATCTGCCACATCGTCCGGCCTTGGAACAGCCTTCACTTTCTCCAGTATTTTCTCCGGTAATGTCTCCGGCACTTGCCAGAGTGTTGCTTCAACGTCTGGAACAGAGTTTGCTCCTCGGAGAATTTCTCGTGCCATTGTCTCGACATGGCCGTGCAAGGAATAGTACCTACCAGAAAAACCGAAAATCAGATTTTTCGTCAAAACCAAACCTGCATGAGGACCGAAAACCAGACTTTTCTATTCTGTCTGGGCCAGTAGCACAACGACTGGAAAATGATCGCCAGCTGATTAACTTGGCAAGGATTGGTTAAAGACTCACACTATATAAATCTTGGTGACAGCCATAGCTTTTATAGCTTGAAGTTACTGATAAAACAAGAAATCCTGTCCCTGAAAACTAAGAAACAGGACACTGTTAAAAGTTTTGTGATCGGAAGCTATTCGATCACATGTTTGTTTATCCTACCTTCACAAGCTCTAACTAAATTTAGTCTAATCCGAAATTTACAAAAACTGACATTGTTAGATTTCCAAATTAGAATCGACTCCTATACAAAAAGTAACAGTTCAGAGAAAACGACTAACCTTGGCGAAAGAAGGAGGAGGAGGGGAAGAAACAGTTTGGTGACGATAAAATGTCATCAGGTTTGGTGAAGGTGATCTTTTAAGAACTATAGATGACGTGGCAATAAGTTGGACCGACCATTTTATTGTTTCTTCTATTACATGGCTATCTTCTTCAAGCCCAATTAAATGATTAATGTCTTTTCTTGTCTCTTGCGATAATTAGTTTTTTTTTTTTTTTTGGCAAAGGGATAATTGGTTTAACAATTATACATCTTAAGATAAAAAAAAATATATTCATAGTTATTACATACAGTATTAAATTGAAGCAATATCTATATATCATGTCACGTGTACACGTATTTTATCATAATAGGACATTACTTTTTAATTTTATTTTTTTCTCTGATTTTAATTTTATTTTATCATAATAGGACAATGCTATATTCTTTCATTACTATATATAGGACAACTACTTATTTATTTTTATTTTTGTAAAGAATTTGAAGCATTTACTTAAAAAACTTGACAAATGAGATCAGTTTTAAAAATAAATAATAGAAAATATTGTCAAATTGCAAAAAATTGAATTTCTACCATTAAATCTCTAAGTTATTGACCTGTTGTAAAAAATTAAATTCTGAAAATAAGATTTATAAAATTATGTATATGTATACATATATTTTTTTTAAGATGTACAATACCATATTATGATACCATTTTGGTCAAATATATATATATATATATATATATATATATCTATATATATAAAGTTAACTTTTTCTCTATTCTCCTTAAGCCACATCATCATCCACCTCATTTTATTATTTAATTTTTAAAATTAATTATATCATTTTATCATTTAATATTAATATTTAAACTTATGTAAATAAGTTTTTCCAAAATGAATATGAAAGGTCTTTTTTTATATTATACATTATAAACTAAAAAGGATAATTGATTAAGAGTTTAAAAAAACTTACTAATTATCGATTATACTAACAAATATATAAATAATAGATTATAGTTTTTAGTGAATGTTTAAAATATATATATGATTATATTTACACAATGTAAACCTAAATATAATGGGATTTAACGGGAATAAAACAAAAAGTAAGAAATTTTGAGAATATAAATCTATCTAATTTATGTCTCAAATAATTTTCTAACATAAGTGAGATAGGTCGGACCGAAACATGAATTCTTATTTTTTATAAACATATAAAAAGGTAAAAATAAAAATAATATTTCTTTAAAAGTTTCAAATATGAATTTAACTATTTGTTTCCACAACACATATGTTAAACTAATAAACAAAATAAAAAATTAACTATTTCATAAAATTGAAAATTAAAATAAAATATTATTAAATGAAATAAACTAAATATAAAGTAAATTATACTAATAAGTTAAATTTTAAAATTGTTCCATATGAAAAAACAAAAAATATATAAAACATAAAATCAGAAAAATATATAATAGTATATAAATGATCATTACGAGATATAAAGTACGACAAATCCAAAAAAGGAAAATGTAAAACAAAACATAATAAATTATGACAATATATAAAGAGATAATGTAAACAATTAAAAATACAACAATCCGCCCGAAACCCACAAATCATGTTCAAATTTCATGCCAACATATAAAAGGGCCCAAAATATTAACATCTAGATCTATATTTGGTAAAAACCTTAATAGCACACGTTTCTCAATGATTCTCAACCGCACTTCCATTTACACCTACACTTCGACTTATACTATACAGACTTAATTTCTCAGCGACTAATGAAGTTAAAACTCAATAACTTTTCTATACAAACACAATTTTAAGTTTAAAAGAATAAAGTATGGTATAGTGAAAAAAACAAGTAGAAAATAAAATACGAACCAATTACTCATAAACAACATATAATAAACTCTCGCGCGTAGCGCGGGCAACCGACTAATATATATATATATTTATTTTTATGAAGATGTAGAATACCATATTATGATACCATTTTGGTCAACATACCAATTAACACAAATGTCTTTAAATATGAGGAGAAAAGACCAAAAAAAAGTAATTAAACTAGTCAAACAAAATTTTCAGCGTTTTATAATGATTCGACTAAAGCTTAAACCAATTCAGTTTCGTTTTGCTTATAACAGTGATTCAATTATACTGTTATTCCATTATATATCTGGCAAACAAGTCATGCTCATGGTATTAGTTTGTATTTTATTGTAATTAACAAGAAGTCAAGAGTTAAGTTTTCTAAATATAAAACGATACCAGTTTTGAGACCATTATCTTTAATTAAAATCTAAAATATATGGTAATGATGGTTTTTTAAATCATAATCCCTACTATAATAAAAGAGAAGTACACAAGGGATTCGGGTCGGGTTTTTCAAAAAATTCCGGGTTAAATTTTCAATCGGATACTTGCCAAATTTTTTGTTAAATATTTTTCAAATATTTCAATAATATACACCAGATTTCTATCATTTAGGAAGCTATATTAATGCTAAATAAAAATATGTCTTATAAGGAAAATTTGTTTATGAATATAAAGATCTCAATATTTTAAAAATATTCTAATTATTATATTAATTTCTTATATGAAAAAACAATAAAAAGTAATAATTTTTTATAAGTTTAAATATTTGATATATAGAAAAATATAATTTAAAAATATTTGGTATAACAAATATAAAAATGCATCTAAAATACATAAATAATGGTAATATAATCAATAAAAATGTTAATTAGTTTGAATAAGTTAAATGTTTCAAAAATAAAATTTGAATATATATGGCTATAAAAACGAAAGATTTTATTAAATATTTTATAAAAAACGAAAGATTTTATATATATT